GCATAACACGGAGCTTGCCCAGTCATACGCCTCTTCGTGTGAGTACGGGGAGTTGGCTCAGCTCTAACCCTAGGCTCCGCCAACCACCGTGTGTGCCCCCAACCACCGTGTGTGCCCTGGGCACGCTGCTTGGTCCTCGTTTGGTGGGATCTTCTGTCACGTTCGTTGAATGACGCGTCAGACCAAGGCGCAGCGTGATATACGTACATGTTTATTAACTTACAAACACAACGACAAAACAATAAACGAAACGTGAAGTCCAAGGTAGCACACACAACATACCTTACACGGAACAAGATCCCACAACTCAATAGTGCCAATAGGCTGCCTAAGTATGGTCCCCAATCAGAGACAACGAGCGACAGCTGCCTCTGATTGGGAACCACACCGGCCAACATAGAACTAAACATACTAGATCCCACATAGAAAATACTACATAACAAAGAATATACACACCCTGACTCAACATATACGAGTCTCCTGAGTCAGGGCGTGACACACTGGCTTAATCCTATTCTTTAACTTTTATTTTTGGTTTAGTTGGAGACGTGAATCCATCATAATTTGTTAACTTGTCGACAAGTTAATAGGCTATTTACTGTATTGTAAAAGTGATATTGAATTGTGTTTGGTTGCCAACGCAACCAAATATTAACATTTGGAGGATATGTATCTTTAGTGCCACTGACTTAGTCCAGTTTTAATTCCAGTTTGTCTACAAATTAATAATTGATATGTTGATGTTCACGTTTCCATCTCAACCAAGAATCAAAGTTAAAGAATAGGACTAATTCAAATCAAACTTTATTTAAAGTGCATTTCAAATGTGACTAGATTAGATTTAGTTATATTCTTTAACTTAGATTTTTGGTTGAGATGGAGACGTGAATCCAACATATAAATTATTCATTTGTAGACAAACTGTAATTAAAGACAGACTAAGTCAGTGGTACAGATGGAACCAACTATCCAAACAGAAGATACATCTCTTTAAAATGTTGATATTTAGTTGCCTTGACAATAATACACAATTCAATATCCAGTTGGTCTACAAATTAATAATTGATATGTCATGTCGCCATCTCAACCAAAAATCTAAGTAAAAGAATAGGACAAAATCTAATCTAATCACACTTTAAATGCACCTTAAATAAAGTTTGATTTGATTTAGTCCTATTCTTTAACTTAGATTTTTGGTTGAGATGGAAACGGGAATCGAACATATTAATACTCTACTTGTAGATTACATTTGAAATTAACCTGAGCTAGCACATTGGTAGCAGTCAATGACCAGTATCAAAGCTAAGCTGGGCCAGGCTTGATTAAAACCTTGGATGGGAGACCAAATGAATCGCTGTAGATAGATCAACACTCCAGTAGGAGGTGCTGCCCAGCCGATTATATATTTTTCTGATCGTGAATATAACTTTGAAGATGTGGCGTTGTTTCAACGGTATAAATTCAACATATTTAATACAAGGTTTGTTTATGTTGAACATTTGTTACAATGATGATATAATCCTGTGGTTGAAAATTCACCCTCAACAGTTTAAGTTGACTTTTCTTCTAATCCAATAAATTTTTACACGTGGACTCCACGTCAAAATATGTTGACAAACTACGTTGAAACAACGTTGATTCAACCAGTTTGTGCCCAGTGGCCTGTGCTCTCAGAAAAAGTCTAACATTTCAGTAAAAACATACTGAGAGTGTTAACAGTGTTTACAGTACAGCAACTCTCTTCCAATGCAATAAAGAGAGGTTAGGGAAGAGAGGAGTAACTTTGAACTGCCTGACAACTCTTTGCTGCCAGTCAGGATGCTGTAATTTGTCACTGTTTGTTTGGCTTGGATTAAAGCTTCATGTCAGCAGCACCTGATACCGTGGCAGAAACCACGTTGCTCAATATCACATGTCCATGGGACCTATAAAAAGTGTGTGTAACCAATCCCTGCCCTTTGAGCTGATGGAGCAGAATGAGATTAAACCACCACCCTGAGACAGACAGTCAGACAGACAGACAGCATGCTGAGAGTGTTTACGGGAGAAATGAGGTTTTCTCACCATAGAAGAAGAGCCAGCCCAAAATCATCAGGTTTTCTGTAACTTGATTTACTATGAGAACGAGGGATGCATATAAAAGTACATTCTTCTGGTCTGAATTCTCCCAGGGAAGGCAAGGCAAACCTCCCCTCTTCCGTCTCTCTCTATCCCTGGTTGAAAGTATCCTGGCTGGGCTCAGAAGACTGAGGTTTCCCTCCAGTGTGGAGCCCACAAAGGCTCACTCTATTCAGGATCAAAGCACAGACTGTCTGGGCGCTTCATGGGCCCAGTCTGGAAACTAGAAAAACTACCCTCTTGTTGTTGTCAGATTCCTCACATGAAGAAAGACACTGCTGCTCTAACCACCACACCATCTATTCAACGGTCTTTGCCGCATAATTCAAATGAACCCAGTCTTTTATAATGGCAAAAACATGGATTGTTCTCTGCAGTGGCATGTCTCTCGGTTATCAGCCCTGTCCCAAACATAGTATTTTAGTCAGTAAAAGTTGTGCTGGGTTTGATATAGTCAGTCTGGACCCGGGCCCAATGTTCTCCACTGCTGACGTGACTGGACAAATTAGTGTTAACTCAGCAAATATATTCAAAATGCTGCTGGGACATTGAGAAGTATTAGGAATGATAGCTCTGACCGTTACAGACGCTAACCACTTCTGAAAAGGTGACAGCACATTTGGCTGCTATTTGCCAAAGACAAAAAAAGCCCTACAACTTTCACCATGGGGCATTTTGATCTTTAATTCATACGGGATGTGGGGAATGTATGTATATATGGGTTGTTCACATCTCAAAAGACTCTTTCTGACCTGAGAAAACACTGTATGGAACATCGCACGCCATCCCTTCTCAGACAGGAGTTCTTGCCTTCAACACTTTGATATATTTATTTATTTCTTTTTCAGGGGTCTCAGTCACTCGTCATTGACAAGCCATCCATTCATACAGCGTTAGGGAGGAACAAGTCCTCACCACTTTTGTACAACCCAAACCCACTCCTGTGTAACCGACTTGCCGTACACCCTAAATATTCAACGCGACTGCTGGATGTGTTTTATGCAGACAGAACCTGACAGGCCTGAACCGATGCCAAGGCAGATATGAAAGCGAGCACTGTCTGTCCGTCAAACCCAAAGCAGGAAGTAATCAACTTCCCTTCCTCCTCAGGGCCCAAGCTGAAAGTCATTAACCTAAACAATGCCATTCTTCTACTGTGGGCTAGTTAGGAAAAAAATATACTTAGGAGCATTATCATAACCATTTGAGGGGTTCTCAATTATCTCTTGTTCTCCGTGCTGTACTCATTTAGATTGTACCTTGTTCGGTTGTTGGCTTGGCTGGGAGGATGTAGTGTAACTGTAGTATTTTACGAGGTAAATGGTTCAGTGTTTACATCCAAGACCTGATTATAATAGCCAACTATGATTACACATCTCTGATCCTATTAGTTTTTGTTTCAGGAATATAATGAGAAACCTACTCTGACAGAAAGCATTTACAAAAACTAAATTAATGAAGCTATTTCCGTACGGTATGCAATTATGGTAAAACTTATAGTAAAGCTCTGAGGTACTTCTCGGAGTCCAAACTATGCAATTATTCTGAATTGTTCTGTATGATCTCAAAGAAATACAGCAAGAGGTTACATTGTACAGTTTCATTTAATGAGCATGAATTAATTATGCAACATACATCAGCGTACCATTTGAAACTACTTTTTTGTTTGTTGCTAAGGCATTGTTTAGGCTACAGTCAGCACAACATACTGCATTTCAACACAACTCTACAATGACAAACAAGAAAACATGTACTGTTGTGTAAAAAAGTAATCTACATTTAAAATCTGCAATATTACAGGCAGAGGTATAAAAAAAAACACTGGCAAAGAAAAGTAACAAATATTTATATACAGTGGGCTCCAAAATGACTGGCACCCCTGACTGGCAATGCACAAACAATACTTTAAAAAATATCAACAATATAATTATAGAGATAAACTCAAAATACCAGCATGTGAGAAATACTGTACTTTATTAATGTTTCAATGGAACCAACCAAAATCATACAATTATTTAATACAAAATAAATGTCACCAAAATCAAGGTTTCATAATTATTGGCACTCCTCATTTAGTACTTAGGTCAACCACCTCTGGCAAGGATAACAGCATGGAGTCTTTTCCTGTAATGTTTGACAAGGTTAAGGAACACATTTGGATGGATTTTGGACCATTCCTCTATGCAGATCCTTTCAAGATTCTTCATATTCTTGGGTTTGCGCTCATCAACTGCCCTCTTCAAATGATTTTGATGGGTTCCATTGGAATAGATACAGCATTGGCATGTTTGGCGTCGAAACAGAGATGCATACAAAGAGAGGCACCTCATACCCACGGTGAAATATGGTGGTGGGTCAGTGATGTTTTGGGGCTGTTTTAATTCCAGAAGTCCAGGGGCACTGGTTAAGATTGATGGCATAATGAATTCCACCAAGTATCAGGCAATTTCGGCTGACAATCTGGTTGCCTCTGCAAGAAGGCTGGGACTTGGCCATAGGTGGACTTTCCAACAAGACAATGACCCAAAACATACCTCAAGATCCACACAGAAATGGTTCTGTGACAACAAAATCGATGTTCTGCCATGGCCATCTCAGTCGCCGGACCTCAATCCAATCAAAAATCTGTGGGCTGAGTTGAAGAGGGCAGTTGATGAGCGCAAACCCAAGAATGTGAAGGATTTTGAAAGGATCTGCATAGAGAAATGGTCCAAAATCCATCCAAATGTGTTCCTTAACCTTGTCAAACATTACAGGAAAAGACTCCATGCTGTTATCCTTGCCAGAGGTGGTTGACCTAAGTACTAAATGAGGAGTGCCAATAATTATGAAACCTTGATTTTGGTGACATTTATTTTGTATTAAATAATTGTATGATTTTGGTTGGTTCCATTGAAACATTAATAAAGTACAGTATTTCTCACATGTTGGTATTTTGAGTTTATCTCTATAATTATATTGTTGATATTTTTTTAAGTATTGTTTGTGCATTCCCAGTCAGGGGTGCCAGTCATTTTGGAGCCCACTGTATACACACCATTCTGTCTTCATTGGAGTAGTAGTGTGCGCTTGTCAGGGTGTCAGTTTGTCTGTCAGTGGGTGTGAGACAATACAATCTTGTAATAGTGTGTCAGAATGTCTAATAACTATAGCACTGTATACTGTCTGTCAGTCAGTCCGCTACTGCATAGCGATCATCCACACAGGGACGATGGCATCGGGGAATCCTTCCTGTTTCTCCACAGCCAGGACCTTCAGGCCAGCCTTAAAGATGATGTCCTTCATGATGTCCAGGTGGCGGATGATGCTGCTGTCGATGGGGTCCAGCTTGCAGCCCTTCCGGGCCATGTTGTCCTTAATGATGATAACCCCGTTGGGCCGCAGACTGTTCTTACAGCGCATCAGGAACTGCATCAGGTCCCTGTCCGTCAGGTGACCTGGAGATGGGACAGCGCAACAAAGGACCCACCAATCAGAGTAAGGGAGAGTCGGTCTGCCTGCCTGTCTGCCTGTGTCTGTCTGTCAAACTTATTTTAAGTATGTACAGTTGAAGTCGGAAGTTTACATACACCTTAGCCAAATACATTTAAACTCAGTTTTTCACAATTCCTGACATTTAATCCTAGTAAAAATTCCCTGTCTTAGGTCAGTTAGGATCACCACTTTATTTTAAGAATGTGAAATGTCAGAATAATAGTAGAGAGAATGATCTATTTCAGGTTTTATTTCTTTCATCACATTCCCAGTGGGTCAGAAGTTTACATACACTCAATTAGTATTTGGTAGCATTGCCTTCAAATTGTTTAACTTGGGTCAAACGTTTCGGGTAGCCTTCCACAAGCTTCCCACAATAATTTGGGTGAATTTTGGCCCATTCCTCCTGACAGAGCTGGTGTGACTGAGTCAGGTTTGTAGGCCTCCTTGCTCGCACACGCTTTTTCAGTTCTGCCCACACATTTTCTATAGGATTGAGGTCAGGGCTTTGTGATGGCCACTCCAATACCTTGACTTTGTTGTCCTTAAGCCATTTTGCCACAACTTTGGAAGTATGCTTGGGGTCATTTTCCATTTGGAAGACCCATTTGCGACCAAGCTTTAACTTCCTGCCTGATGTCTTGAGATGTTGCTTCAATATATCCACATAATTTTCCTTCCTCATGATGCCATCTATTTTGTGAAGTGCACCAGTCCCTCCTGCAGCAAAGCACCCCCACAGCATGATGCTGCCACCCCCGTGCTTCACGGTTGGGATGGTGTTCTTCGGCTTGCAAGCTACCCCCTTTTTCCTCCAAACATAACGATGGTCATTATGGCCAAACAGTCCTATTTTTGTTTCATCAGACCAGAGGACATTTCTCAAAAAATTACGATCTTTGTCCCCATGTGCAGTTGCAAACTGTAGTCTGGCTTTTTTATGGCGGTTTTGGAGCAGTGGCTTCTTCCTTGCTGAGCGGCCTTTCAGGTTATGTCGATATAGGACTCGTTTTACTGTGGATATAGATACTTTTGTACCTGTTTCCTCCAGCATCTTCACTAGGTCCTTGCTGTTGTTCTGGGATTGATTTGCACTTTTCGCACCAAAGTACGTTCATCTCTAGGAGACAGAATGCGTCTCCTTCCTGAGCGGTATGACGACTGCGTGGTCCCATGGTGTTTATACTTGCGTACTATTGTTTGTACAGATGAACGTGGTACCTTCATGCATTTGGAAATTGCTCCCAAGGATGAACCAGACTTGTGGAGGTCTACACATTTTTTTTCAGAGGTCTTGTCTGATTTCTTTAGATTTTCCCATGATGTCAAGCAAAGAGGCACTGAGTTTGAAGGTAGGCCTTGAAATACATCCACAGGTACACCTCCAATTGACTCAAATGATGTCAATTAGCCTATCAGAAGCTTCTAAAGTGAAATAATCTGTAAACAATTGTTGGAAAAATTACTTGTGTCATGCACAAAGTAGATGTCCTAACCGACTTGCCAAAACTATATTTTGTTTTAACTATAACACGTTTTAATGACTCCAACCTAAGTGTATGTAAACTTCCGACTTCAACTGTAGATTTAATCCACCCATACTTTTTTCTCTAAGATCTAGAACCTAGATTCATCCTCCACCTTGAGTTATCTTATATAGCCTGCCCTACACAGAACGTGACAGGGCTCACCCTAAGCATGATGGCTCACTCAATGAGTCAGGAGCGTGACATGAGGAGGTCCTCTAACATGGCAATATAAACACAACCTGAAATATCCCTTCACTGAAAAATCAATGCTGGTCCCTCCTAAAATAAGACTGGGCAGAGTTCTTCATACAGACTATTGAAAGTGCTGCTGTCACCACTGACAGGGAGCTCTGATATCTTGTGTTATGCACCGTATGTTGCTGTAATGTCACGTTCTAAATACGGCAGTGCTCACACTTACTGAACGTAAATAACCTCATATGGAAAAGACACATATGTACTGTAGATGAGAGGTCAAAACATGAACACATCACAAACATGACACACATGCACACACACACACACACACGCACACGCACACGCACACACACACACACAGACACACAGACACACACACGCACACACACGCACACACACACACACGCACACGCACACGCACACACACACACAGACACACAGACACACACACACACACAGACACACACACACACACACAGACACACACACACGCACACGCATACACACACAGACACACAGACACACGCACACGCACACACAGACATACAGACACACACACACACAGACACACACACACACACAGACACACAGACACACGCACACGCACACACAGACACACAGACACACACACACACACAGACACACACACACACACACACAGACACAGACACACAGACACACGCACACAGACACACAGACACACAGACACACACACACAGACACACGCACACACACACACACACAGACACACACACAGACACACAGACACACGCACACACGCACACACACACAGACACAGACACACGCACACACACACGCAAACACACACAGACACACAGACACACACAGACACCCAGACACACACACAAACAGACACACAGACACACACACACACACACACAGATCGGAGAGTGAGACTTACATGCACACCACTGCATCCAGATGACGTCATATTTCCTTGAGGGTGGTGTTAGCTCCTGCAGGTTGTAGCAGTAGTATGTCTCTATGCGGTCAGCGTCGTCTCCTAGGTACTCCTCATGGGCATGGAGCAGGAAGGCCTCAACCATGTCACACATCTCCATGGTCTCAAAGATCGGCAGGAGGACACCTTTAGATACCCGCCCAATCCCACAGCCACAGTCCAGGGCACACTTAGTGCCAGCCTTACCAGGACCCTGTTTGAAGAATGGAATGATACACAAACATGTACAGTCGTGGTCAAAGGTTTTGAGAATCTGCTGCCACAGTTTTGATGATGGCAATTTGCATATACTCCAGAATGTCATGAAGAGTGATCAGATGAATTGCAATTAATTGCAAAGAAAATGAACTTAATCCCCAAAAAACATTTCCACTGCATTTCAGCCCTGCCACAAAAGGACCAGCTGCCATCATGTCAGTGATTCTCTCGTTAACACAGGTGAGAGTGTTGATGAGGACAAGGCTGGAGATCACTCTGTCATGCTGATTGAGTTAGAATAACAGACTGGAAGCTTTAAAAGGAGGGTGGTGCTTGAAATCATTGTTCTTCCTCTGTTACCATGGTTACCTGCAAGGAAACACGTGCCGTCATCATTGCTTTGCACAAAAAGGGCTTCACAGGCAAGGATATTGCTGCTAGTAAGATTGCACATAAATAAACAATTTATCGGATCATCAAGAACTTCAAGGAAAGAGGTTCAATTGTTGTGAAGAAGGCTTCAGGGCACCCAAGAAAGACCAGCAAGCCCCAGGACCATCTCCTAAAGTTGATTCAGCTGCGGGATCGGAGCACCACCAGTGCAGAGCTTGCTCAAGAATGGTAGCAGGCAGGTGTGAGTGCATCTGCACGCACAGTGAGGCAAAGACTTTTGGAGGATGGCCTGGTGTCAAGAAGGGCAGCAAAGAAGCCACTTCTCTCCAGGAAAAACATCAGGGACAGACTGATATTCTGCAAAAGATACAGGGATTGGACTGCTGAGGACTGGGGTAAAGTCATTTTCTCTGATGAATCCCCTTTCCGATTGTTTGGGGCATCCGGAAAACACCTTGTTCGGAGAAGACAAGGTGAGCGCTACCATCAGTCCTGTATCATGCCAACAGTAAAGCATCCTGATACCATTCATGTGTGGGGTTGCTTCTCAGCCAAGGGAGTGGGCTCACTCACAATTTTGCCTAAGAACACAGCCATGAATAAAGAATGGAACCAACACATCCTCTGAGAGCAACTTCTCCCAACCATCCAAGAACAGTTTGGTGACGACCAATGCCTTTTCCAGCATGATGGAGCACCTTGCCATAAGGCAAAAGTGATAACTAAGTGGCTCGGGGAAGAAAACATCGACATTTTGGGTCCATGGCCAGGAAACTCCCCAGACCTTAATCCATTGAGAACTTGTGGTCGATCCTCAAGAGGCGGGTGGACAAACAAAAACCCACAAATTCTTTCAAACTCCAAGCATTGATTATGCAAGAATGGGCTGCCATCAGTCAGGATGTGGCCCAGAAGTTAATTGACAGCATGCCAGGGCGGATTGCAGAGGTCTTGAAAAAGAAGGGTCAACACTGCAAATATTGACTCTTTGCATAAACTTAATGTAATTGTCAATAAAAGCCTTTGACACTTATGGAATGCTTGTAATTATATTTCAGTAGTAACATCTGACAAAAATATCTCATAACACTGAAGCAGCGAACTTTTGTGAAGACCAATACTTGTGTCATTCTCAAAACTTTTGACCACGACTGTACACATTGGTAAATAAACACACTACAGTAATGTAACAGACATTTTAAAACAAAACCTTCCACACAGGAAAAGTATGTGCAAACCTCAGGTTTCCTGGCGTCCTTTGCTATGATCACAGTAATAGATATTGTTTTTTTTCTATACCAGATGTCTGGCCTCTGTAACCCAAAAGCCCAGAGAGCAGAAACAAGCACCATACCTCAGGGTAATGACACTATGAACTTTGACCTTACATAGAGAACAAAAAAATTACCTTGGTTGATTCATGCTCGTTTTAACTTCTTTTCATTTCGTATTCTGACCTCACTCCTCTCCGTCTCTTCCCTAAGGAACAACGGGGGCCCCAGTCGGTGATTCGGTGAAAGATGGGGTCCGGAGGAACTCTATGGTTGTTGGAGGATGCTTCCTGGTTTGGTGAATTACTGCCATATTGCTCACGTAGCTTGTTCTTCAGTTTAACCTGGCTGCACTCTACATTTCCCCACTGTGTTTGGTTTTAATGGAGTTGTCAGGATTAGAATCTAGACTCTGCACAGTAGAGTTCTAGGAGACCATGGAGTATGATTGAAACATAGTGTTCTCTTCCTCCGTCTAAGCTAAGGATGTCCTTGTACAAGAGAGCAGGTGAGCAGTACATGGAACGACGACTCATAGGTACTATGAAATGTAGCCAGCTGTATAACGTTTCAGGTGACCCTAATCTAAGACTGTGTGTGTGTTGCCTAAATTGAGACTATGTTGTGCAAGTAAAGCTATATCCGACATCCACAGGGCCTTTGCCATTTGGACAATAAAAAGAGTGGGATTTGTGCAAGGACATCTGACATCCCTAGTATGAATGGAAACAGCCTTTGGGTGTGCAGATGTAGGATCTTAATTTGATCACTCGTTTGTCAGCAGGAAATGCAAACTTGTAGTGTATTCGAGGTTTAAAAATGTTTATAAAGTTTGTAATTTCCCCTTTAAAATGTCAGACTTGATTTGCCCTAACGAAAAATGTATCAACCCCTACAAAAAATTTCCATTAATTATAATCCACATAATAATTCACATTTTCTGTTGCTGCAGGATTATTTTCCTGTTGTAGCAAACTAGCTCAAATTAAGATCCTACATCTGTATATTACGTTTGCTCTAACATGCAGTGGTGGGAAAAGTACCTAATTGTCATAGTAAAAGTAAAGATACTGTAGCCCTTTCCTGCAGTCAAATGACCTAGTGGCCTCATAGGAAGAAAGTTATTAATAATTTTCATAATTTCATAATTAATAAACATTATTTTAAAGAAGCCGCAGAAAGTCTGGTGTTTCTATGTCAAACGGTTTTATCTTTCAGTCTTCTGTGATGTATATAAAGTGTAATATTGGGATGCAAACTCAAAATGTAATACAATTTAACTCTATATCTGACATGGTACAGGGGTCTTCTTTTTTTTAAGCCCATAACCATGTGTGTGAGGTGTATACTTTTGTTTCAAAGTAGATTTGTTTAAGACTACCAAGAAACACTCACAAATCTGTGACCCTGATTTAGCCCACTGCATTAAAAGGTTTAATAGAAAATGACTCAAGTAAAAGTGAACGTCACCCAGTAAAATACTACTTGAGTAAAAGTATTTGGTTTTAAATATACTTAAGTATCAAAAGTAAATGTAATTGCTAAAATATACTTAAGTATCAAAAGTTAAAATTATTTTAAATTCCTTATATTAATCAAACAATGTTCTTGTTTTTTTTTATTTCTTTACGGATAGCCAGTGGCATACTCCAAAACTCAGACATCATTAACAAACTAAACTTTTATGTTTAGTGAGTCTGCCAGATCAGAGGCAGTAGGGGTGACCAGGGATGTTCTCTTGATTAGTGTGTGAATTGGACCATTTTCCTGTCCTGCTAAGCATTCAAAATGTAACGAGTACTTTTGGGTGTCAGGAAAAATGTATCGAGTAAAACGTACATAATTTTCTTTAGGAATGTAGTGAAGAGAAAGTAAAAGTTGTCAAAAATATAAATAGTAAAGTAAAGTACAGATACACCAAAACACTACTTAAGTAGTACTTTCAAGTTTTTTTACTTAAGTACTTTACACCACTGCTAACATGTGTCTGTTACCTATAAGCATCATTGTGAAAGTCACCCTGCTTTGCCTCTGTCACGATCGTCGTATGGAGTAGACCAATGCGCAGCGTTAGTTGCGAACATACTTCTTTATTAAGTGAAAGCACGAACAAAACAAGAAAACGATAACGTGACAGTCAACGGTCAAACACAAACCAACTCGAACAAGATCCCACAAAACACAAAGGGCAAACAGACAGTTTAAATATGTCTCCCAATCAGAGACAACCAGCCACAGCTGACACTCGTTGCCTCTGATTGGGAGTCACTCTGGCCAACATAGAACCAGCACAACTAGAACTCCCGACATAGAAATACGACACATAGAATGACCACACCCTGGCTCAACATATAGAGTCCCAGAGCCCGGGTGTGACAGTACCCCCCCCTAAAGGCGCGGACTGCGACCGCGCCTCAACTAGAACCAAACAGGGGAGGGCTGGGTGGGCATTCCTCCTCGGCGGCGGTTCTGGCTCCGGGCTTGCCCACCACCCTCCAATAATCCCCCCATAGCGCCCCTGGTCCGATCTGGCCCCGCTGGCTGGAGCTGAACTGGACATAGTAGGAGCGGATAGCTTCAGCTCCGGTGTGGGGCAGCCAACCGGTACCTGATCAGGCACCGGTGACCCAGGCACGGGTTGTGCCGGACTGACGACGCGCACCCCTGGCTTGGTGCGTGGAGCAGGAACGGACCGGACCGGGCTGACGATGCGCACCCCTGGCTTGGTGCGTGGAGCAGCAACTGGCCGGACCGGGCTGACGATACGCACCCCTGGCTTGGTGCGTGGAGCAGGAATGGGCCTTACAAGGCTGACGACGCGCACCCCTGGCTTGGTGCGTGGAGCAGGAACGGACCGGACCGGGCTGACGATGCGCACCCCTGGCTTAGTGCGTGGAGCAGCAACTGACCGGACCGGGCTGACGATACGCACCCCTGGCTTGGTGCGTGGAGCAGGAATGGGCCTTACCAGGCTGACGACTCGCACCCCTGGCTTGGTGCGTGGAGGAGGAACGGGCCTTACCAGGCTGACGTCTCGCACCCCTGGCTTGGTGCGAGTAGCAGGAACAGGCCGGGCCGGGCTGGCGACGCGCACCGTAGGCTTGGTGCGTGGAGCAGCAACGGGCCTTACCAGGCTGACGTCTCGCACCCCTGGCTTGGTGCGAGTAGCAGGAACAGGCCGGGCCGGGCTGGCGACGCGCACCGTAGGCTTGGTGCGAGTGGCAGGAACAGGCCGGGCCGGGCTGGCGACGCGCACCGTAGGTTTGGTGCGAGTGGCAGGAACAGGCCGGGTCGGGCTGGCGACGCGCACCGTAGGTTTGGTGCGAGTGGCAGGAACAGGCCGGGCCGGGCTGGCGACGCGCACCGTAGGCTTGGTGCGAGTGGCAGGAACATGCCGGGCCGGGCTGGCGACGCGCACCGTAGGTTTGGTGCGAGTGGCAGGAACAGGCGGGCCGGGCTGGCGACGCGCACCGTAGGTTTGGTGCGAGTGGCAGGAACAGGCCGGGCCGGGCTGGCGACGCGCACCGTAGGCTTGGTGCGAGTGGCAGGAACAGGCCGGGCCGGGCTGGCGACGCACACCGTAGGCTTGGTGCGGGGAGCAGGAACAGGCCGGGCTGGGATGGTGACGCGCACCGTAGGCTTGGTGCGAGGGGCAGGAACAGGCCGGGCCGGGCTGGCGACGCACACCGTAGGCTTGGTGCGGGGAGCAGGAACAGGCCGGGCCGGGCTGGCGACGCACACCGTAGGCTTGGATGCGGGGAGCAGGAACAGGCCGGGCTGGGCTGGCGACGCGCACCGTAGGCTTGGTGCGAGTAGCAGGAACAGGCCGGGCCGGGCTGGCGACGCGCACTGTACACTTGGTGCGAGTGGCAGGAACAGGCCGGGCCGGGCTGGCGACGCGCACCGTAGGCTTGGTGCGAGGGGCAGGAACAGGCCGGGCCGGGCTGGCGACGCGCACCGTAGACTTGGTGCGAGTAGCAGGAACAGGCCGGGCCGGGCTGGCGACGCGCACCGTAGGCTTGGTGCGAGTAGCAGGAACAGGCCGGGCCGGGCTGGCGACGCGCACCGTAGGCTTGGTGCGAGGGGCAGGAACAGGCCGGGCCGGGCTGGCGACGCACACCGTAGGCTTGGTGCGAGGGGCAGGAACAGGCCGGGCCGGGCTGGCGACGCGCACCGTACACTTGGTGCGAGGGGCAGGAACAGGCCGGGCCGGGCTGGCGACGCGCACCGTACACTTGGTGCGAGGGGCAGGAACAGGCCGGACCGTACTGGGGACACACACCACTGGCTCTACACCGGGATCTGGAACGGGCCGGACCGGACTGGTAACACACCCCAGTACCTCTCGCCGTGCCTCTACACCTTCCTTCCCTTCCTTGACCAGTGATCCCCGTAACCTGGTGGCCTTCTGAATTCGCCCCTTGTCTGCCTCCGTCAGCCCCGTCGTCCATGCCCTGTGCCCCCCCCTAAAAAATGTTTGGGGTTGCCTCTCGTACGTCCGACGACGACACTGATCACGCCGTTGCTCCTCTCTCCGTCGCGCCTCTACCGTCTCACTCCATGGCCGGCGATCCATCCCGGCCAGGATTTCCTCCCAGGTCCAGGACCCCTGCCCGTCCAAGATCTGCTCCCACGTCCAGGCTGCCTGCTCCTGGACACGCTGCTTGGTCCTGGTATGGTGGGATCTTCTGTCACGATCGTCGTATGGAGTAGACCAATGCGCAGCGTTAGTTGCGAACATACTTCTTTATTAAGTGAAAGCACGAACAAAACAAGAAAACGATAACGTGACAGTCAACGGTCAAACACAAACCAACTCGAACAAGATCCCACAAAACACAAAGGGCAAACAGACAGTTTAAATATGGCTCCCAATCAGAGACAACCAGCCACAGCTGACACTCGTTGCCTCTGATTGGGAGTCACTCTGGCCAACATAGAACCAGCACAACTAGAACTCCCGACATAGAAATACGACACATAGAATGACCACACCCTAGCTCAACATATAGAGTCCCAGAGCCCGGGTGTGACAGCCTCCAGGCGAGCAGTAAAGCTATTCCAGGATATTTTTCTAGTGACTTATTAAATGTAATAAATGAAATGTAAACAATGTTGGCAGAATATTATAGTCTGGAATGAGTTCAGAACTCTACTGGCAAGGGACGGTAGAGTAGACAGGTGTAGGCCAGATCATCACAACGGACAGTTCCTCCATCCTCTGTCATGTACGGTGGCAGTATACTATACAGTAGCAGAGATATCTGAGGAGCTGTGTTAAATTGGTATGAGTGTGTTAACATTAAGCTCAGAGGCTGAGCTAAAGTCCATCCCATGTTTTCTCCATTTCCTTTACTTAAACTCCCAAAACCCAGAAGCTCATAATGAAAACTACACCAGATATGACTATCAGTAATGAGAACTACACCAGATATGACTATCAATAATGAAAACTACACCAGATATGACTATCAATAATGAAAACTACACCAGATATGACTATCAATAATGAGAACTACACCAGATATGACTATCAATAATGAGAACTACACCAGATATGACTATCAATAATGAGAACTACACCAGATATAACTATCAATAATGAGAACTACACCAGATATAACTATCAATAATGAGAACTACACCAGATATGACTATCAATAATGAGAACTACACCAGATATGACTATCAATAATGAGAACTACACCCGATATAATTATCAATAATGAGAACTACACCCGATATGACTATCAATAATGAGAACTACACCCGATATAACTATCAATAATGAGAACTACACCCGATATAACTATCAATAATGAGAACTACACCCGATATAACTATCAATAATGAGAACTACACCAGATATAACTATCAATAATGAGAACTACACCAGATATGACTATCAGTAATGAGAACTACACCAGATATGACTATCAATAATGAGAACTACACCCGATATGACTATCAATAATGAGAACTACACCAGATATAACTATCAATAATGAGAACTACACCAGATATGACTATCAATAATGAGAACTACACCAGATATGACTATCAATAATGAGAACAACACCAGATATAACTATCAATAATGAGAACTACACCAGATACGACTATCAATAATGAGAACTACACCAGATATGACTATCAATAATGAGAACTACACCAGATATGACTATCAGTAATGAAAACTACACCAGATATGACTATCAATAATGAGAACTACACCAGATATGACTATCAATAATGAGAACTACACCAGATATGACTATCAATAATGAGGACTACACCAGATATGACTATCAATAATGAGAACTACACCAGATACCACTATAAATAATGAGAACTACACCAGATATGACTGTCAATAATGAGAACTACACCAGATATGACTATTAATAGCCTAGTTTCCATGTAACACAAATTCCCATGAATTAACATTCATGTAAGTACAGCACACACACACACACACACACACACACACACACACACACACACACACACACACACACACACGCGCACACGTTGACCCTCTCCAGTCTCGTGGACCAAGTGTAACATTTTCACAGACAGGGTACATGGGGATTAATGTCTGGGGCTCTGGGCATGAGGGTGTTGTTATAGAGCCGGTCTGGCAGAAGGTTAAGATGACCATTAGCTACATGATGTGTTCTGGGCCGAGGCACAGCTCCCTTTGTAGATGAGAAGGGATGGACTCATGGGAGAAGGTATTTTTATACCAGAAAGATTATGCATTTCATGCCATAAACAGATATTGATATAAATATCAACTTGGGTTCTGTGACAGGTACACTCAGGCTCTGAGGTTGCTACCATACAGTTTTCAACCAAGGCAGAAGTGTCATTTCAGTGACACACGTGTAATGTAGTATAGACTTACAATAAACCTGCTCAGAAAGTTCCTGGAGCCTTCCAGGTCGATGTGGGAGATCTCAACGAAGTCTCCCATCATCCCCTCCTCTGACGGCTCCACGTCCTCGTAGAACTGCTGTGCCTTGTAGTAGAAGAACTTCTCCCCTTTGATTTTCTCGCAGGTCACCGCGAAGAGCTTGACTGTGGGACAGGACACACACACACACACACACACACACACACACACCTGTTACACCTCATTGACCTTTTCCCATGGCCATAGTCAAGTGCCATTGTCATGTTATGTCCGTGTGAATAGCACTCTTCACTACACTACTGGGGAAGACGACAAAGTCACTCAGGAGGAACAGGTGTGCTGAAGAACAGGACACTGGATCACTAACTATTGACCGGATAAGAGCTGACCATCTGCCGAGAGACGCATGACGATAATTTGATTATAAGTCTAAAAATAAGGGTATTTTCCTACGGCATGATCAGCTGTGGTATGGAGTAAGAGGAGTACATGTATGTGATGCAAACAATATACGTATGTACTGTATGCACCCAATGCTTTGATTATAAATAGCTACTTTTACTGTACATTTTGGTATTAAAGCCCATGCTGTTGCTGCTTGACCTTTGACACTGAGGTTCTACTTTTTTCTCACCAGTTTGAGTAAAATGATTCTATATGTTTCTATTTGTTTTATAGGTCTTGGTGAGTACAGTATTTCTAGTGAGAGGGACCTTTCGTTGCCCATTAAAACCAGAAGAATCGGCAGACATTTCTCTGGGCTTAGGTGACAAGTTGGGTGGGGTCAGGGGGGCCGATGCATTTGCCAGCTAGAGACGTGCCGTGGCAAAATGTATAGCACCATGATGCAACATTGCACTCTCAAGAGTCCCTGCTGATGTCATTATAAAGTAATTTGCTTCCAGTTGGATGCAGGCCACAACGCTAAAAGGCACGCGACAGGGAAGAGGTCCAGGAGTGGGACTTCCACGGTCCAGGAGTGGGACTTCCACGGCCACCTCCAGACAATCAGGGGTTAAAACCAAGGCGAAGCAGTCAATTGGCGCATCAAATCAAATCAATTTTTATTTGCCACATGCGCCGAATACAACAGGTGTAGGTAGTCCTTACAGTGAAATGCTTACTTACAAGCCCTTAACCAACAAAGCATTTTTAAGAAAATAAAAAAAAGTGTTGAGTAAAAAATAGATAAGTAAAAAATAAAAATAGCAAATAATTAAAGAGCAGCAGTAAAATACAATAACAGTAGGGAGGCTATATACAGGGGGTACCGGTACAGAGTCAATGTGTGGGTGCACCGGTTAGTCGAAGTAATTGAGGTAATATGTACATGTGGGTAGAGTTAAAGTGACTATGCATAGATAATAAACAGAGTAGCAGCAGCGTAAAAGAGGGGGTGGGGTGGGGTGGGGGGGGCAATGCAAATAGTCCGGGTAGCCATGATTAACTGTTCAGGAGTCTTATGTCTTGGGGGTAGAAGCTGTTGAGAAGCCTTTTGGACCTAGACTTGGCGCTCCGGTACCACTTAACCATACATGCCGAGAACTTTCAAGACCTCTCAAGTCAGGTGTTCACTTGGCCCGAGAAACGTTTGAAGGTCACAGATTGTATTCTGATACAGTATTGGTGTGCACACACCCGGGACGCCTTCGGGAGAGAGAGAGATAAGTATAGTAACACGGTCAAGACGTCTCAGAGGAGGGGAAGAGAGAGTGTGAAAGGTGTTGTTCTGCCAGCCAAATGCCATTTTACGGCCGACTTCCCCTTTCGTCACCCAAAATTAGTTCACCTCATTAGCGAAGGTAAAGAGTTACCAGACTCGGTGTCCTTTCATCTGTTTGGACAAACATCTATTTCACCAAAGGACTGAATTTCAACACCTAGAGAATATCAGAGGTTCACGCACCAATTTACATGCAATTAGGGAATTGTTTGACTCTTCTGAATTTGCTGTTTACATCTGGTTAAAATAATCACCAGCCAACATTCTTTATCAGTGAATAACAGGATCAGTATACTATGCTACTACAGGTAAATCTGCACCTAAATCTGTTCCTCTCAAGAAAATATGTAATTGCCTCATCATATCATCTTCTGGTTAACATATATGAAGACATAAAAACAGGTATTTATTCAACACATTAAAATTCAGTGCTGCCATGTGTAAATAATGTGACTATGAAACTCTGACTGTCATGAATCAAACACTTCATGACAGGGCAGAGTGCTTACACACTTCACATACCATGCCATTGATGGGGCGTGTTCTGGACAGGTTAGTTTGACCCACTGAAAACTCCAGGAAAATTGAGAAATCAAGGGTGCGTTCGTAAATTCACTCTGGCTATCTACTCCGAGGTTCCACCTCTTGTTTAATCATGATAATGGTCAGGATGGTTAGATGGTCAGGATGGTGGGATGGTCAGTATGGTTAGATGGTCAGGATGGTGGGATGGTCAGTATGGTTAGATGGTCAGGATGGTGGGATGGTCAGTATGGTTAGATGGTCAGTATGGTTAGATGGCCAGGATGGTTAGATGGTCAGGATGGTGGGATGGTCAGGATGGTTAGATGGTCAGTATGGTTAGATGGTCAGTATGGTTAGATGGTCAGTATGGTTAGATGGTGAGGACATTTTCAACTGATTATAGGACCTGAAATCAGGGTACACCGAGGTGATGGTGAGAGCTATAGATTAGATGAGAGCTATAGATTAGAGCAGGTGCTTGATTGCACATTCTCTCTGTTCTAGGAGCTGACCAGTATGGTCCTATATCAGACAGCCAGCAAGCACATAGTGTACTTGGATAATTGGTTTTATTAACGCAGGGAAGTCCCATTAAGACCATTGTCTCTCATATAGCATATCCCCACATAGATAATTTACAGCCTACAGTACAAACTGTATCTCTGCATGCGTGTTAATACTGTGCATTAACCCTCTAAAGTACACACATGCTCAAACACACCGATTCCCCCTCACTTTGCTCAGAGCCCCATGAGGTCGGTTGGTGTCGCCCCTGTCCTTACCCAGGGGGATCTGCTCCAGCAGGTACAGGAAGCTGGCAAAGAACTCCATCCTCAGGCTGTGGTGCAGATGGAAGGACATGCTGTGTCGACACATGGACGCATCTGTGTTCTTCCAGCGGTCCCGATGGGCCTGGTGTAGAGCTTGGAACTCCATGTTAGGTGGAGGGCTTGAAGACACCACTGCCCTTTTTGTATCTTCCAGGCTCGAAGACATCCCTACCTTGTCTGTATCCAGCGCAGTGTCCATTGCAGCGATTCAGTGTGTGTGAACCGGATGGTCTGTGTGTGTGTGACCTAGTGTGCCTGTGGCAGTGTCTCTGCACTGTGAGAGTTTCCAGTCCAGCGAGCGAGCAGTGTGTGTGTGTGAACCACACGGTGTGTGTGTGACCAAGTGCGAAAGTGTTGTTGCTTCTGCTATTGCTTCTGCGGTGCTGCTATATCTGTCGGTTCCGGAGTCCCCTGGTACCCTCTCTGACATCAGCTGTGATCCCTTCTTGGGGCAGTGCTGAAAACTGCCCCTGGCTGTAGGCACACAGAGTGGCATCCGAGCTTTCAACCCACAAATACCAGCCGCACACAAGATACGTTCCCCCTGCCCCTTACAGCCGTATAACGTAGCAGTTATTTTTAGCAAAGTCTTCTCATGTTTGTATCTATGCATAGCCGCAGTGTTCTTGTCTTTGGATGCCTAAGTTACATAGTGCGTGATAAGTCAGCTAAATGTATGGTAGACCATACATGCATTCACTCAACAACATGTGAATGTTTATTTCCATTTAAAGCATTGAATGGAGACATTTGGACTTAGCTGTGCCTATGCACATGGTAAGGCATGGCCGGTCCAAAACTCAAACCGTGTGACATTTATTTTCTGCTGATAGTCAGACGCTGAAGCTTTGCCCTAGCCTCTCAGTTTTTGTAGTCGCTGCACTTCTGGTCCAGATATGTGTCAGTCTTATGGTTCAAGAATCTGCCTTGGTCATATGTCTCCAGGGAGCTCCCCAATGTGTACGTGCCACTATGTCACTATGTCACTCAATCAACATTTCAGATCACAAAAATAAGCACTATCGTCCCTCCTGAGTGTTGACCTACTGTACACACACAAACTGTGTGGTCATCACACACAGCCTTTAATGACCTGGATGTTGATGCACCATGCTCTGTGGAGGAGATTAGAAAAAGCACAAGTCTCCATGGGGTCGTTCCACCTCAAAAAGCACAAGAAAGAAGATTTCGACACCCACCATATCAGATTGTTCTGAAATCGTTTCTGTAGTTAGTAACAGATATGATTAGCATTCCTGAACCATTATTTTGTTGAAATATACTTTGATCTGAGGAATTAGACTAATTGATTTCACCCAAATTGGCCATTTTAATTAATAGGATTCAGATAATATTCAATAAATATAGTAGACTACCCAACATCCAATTTGAACCAAACTTCTTCCTACCAATGAGTAAGACATGAAGAAAGAAATCAAAACCCACTCACGGACCCCCACACCCATCCCACCCCAGCAACCAGTATACATTATCAGTTCTCTATGTTTAACAAATTGTATGAAGCTGTGGCTTATAATATTGTTTTTCCATACAATGTAATAATCTCTGGAGATGTTTTCTCCCCTGTTCAGATAAATTAGTAATTGAAGTCTAGTAATTGAAGTCGCTTGCATTATGTACCTTAAAAGTAGTGTGAAGTACCATGTCTTGACCACTAGATGCCGCTGTTCCTGCTAAACCGCCACATCCATTTTGCTGGTTTATTGAATAGATCACAACATTTCCTTTGCAACTTTGGGTAGAAAACCAATAGATTTGGCTCATTATGAAAATAAAGTGTGATTATCCTCACAATTCAAACCAGTCCTCCATGAAAGAAATTCAGTTTGTCATTCTCTTAGCAACCTAACGCTTCAACCCAACTCTCCTTGAATAGTCCAAGAAGTGGTAGCTTTCTCATATGAAGACACAAAACTTTGATGGAGAAATGGGCTAGGGACTAAAATGTTGTGACAACCCTAATAACCCAACACCATTACCACTGCAAAACAGTATATAGTGTGTGTTTGGGGCTTTTACCATTAGAGACCATTAGAGACCATCACATTGAAACCATTAGAACTGCTGTAGCCTAATGGTCTTCTTGTTCAACAAGAATGGTCTATCAGTAACTAATCCAGACCTTTTTTTAAGGGAATAAACCACACATCAGGGGGCTGTTTCATGGACACAGATTAAGCGTAAAGGAAGGACAAACTGAATTGCTTTCATGGAGGACTGGCTTGAATTGTGAGGATGATCATGAGCTAAATCTATTGGTTTTCTACCCAAAGTTGCAAAGGAAATGTTGTGATCTATTTAATAAAAACACAAGAGACCAGCAAAATTGATTTTTTTAAAGTGTGGCGGTATAGCAGGAACAGCGACAGCTAGTGGTCAACACATAGTACTTCCACACTACTTTATGGTAGATAATGCAAGTGACTTCAATGACTAATTTCTCTTTACAGGGGAGAAAACAAACATCACCAGATTCAAAGGAAATACATTACTTAGTATGGAGAAGCAATACTCCAAGCCACAGCTTCATACTACTTGTCAAACATAGAGAACTGATACTGGTTGTTGGGGTATAATGTGGAACTATATTTATTGAATATTATCTGAATCCTATAATAAATCCTATGAATTTAAAAATGGACAATTTGGGTGCAATCAATTAGCTTAATATCTCTGAGATCAAATTACATTTCAACAAAATAATGTTTCAGGAATGCCAATCTTACTTGTTTCTAACTACAGAAACAATTTCAGAACAATCTGAGTTGGTGGCCCAAATGATGTGGAACGACTCCATGGCCAATCCTATGAGAATGCCTGTATGATCAACAGTATCAAAGACACCTCATTAAATACTCTACTAAATAGATTTTACAGTAAGCTCGTGTTGCCCAGCACATAACCTCATTACAGTACATTGGGAAACTGTAGCCCCTCCTTTCACTCAAACACTTCAAAACACAGATTACTTCACAGTAAAATATCTAGTGTTGCACAATGCCCAGTACATTCTGTTACAACCAGAGAAAAAAATATGTGCCTGCCATGAGATGCATTCTAATTTTAGAGTGATGACATCACCCGTCACTTTGGAAGGCTAGCTTAAAATGTTGCTCTGACAAGCAAATTCCCTTTTGAGTGAAAAGACTAAATCAGCAAGCGCAAGTTGGGCAATACAACTTTCTGTCCCTTAAAGACATGTGCTGTCAATATTAATGACCTGTTGACTACAGACTGTATACCAATTCAGACTGTTGAGGTGATATAGGGCTTACAGTGTATCTCAACTATATCTTGCATATTTTCTGTACCCTTCATACAATATGTACAATCATTATGGTCCTCTGTAGCTCAGCTGGTAGAGCACGGCGCTTGTAACGCCAAGGTAGTGGGTTCGATCCCCGGGACCACCCATACACAAAAAAATAAAATAATTTATGCACGCATGACTGTAAGTCGCTTTGGATAAAAGCGTCTGCTAAATGGCATATTATTATATTATTATTATTATATTATTGATTATCTGTGGACTACATTCAGACTGTTGAAGTGTTATAAAGTGTATCTCAAACAGGGTTGAAGGCATCCATTCCAGTGCATTAGTCAGATAAGGAAATTGATTTAAATTCAATTAAGCCATTTTAAAATATTTTTGTTTACTTTAAATGAATTGTCCCTAGAACTGAGCTGTTAGGCCTACACAACGTTTAGCCAGTGAACTCAAGGGAAAGTTCACATAGTTACACCCTGACCTGTAAGGTCATGGTCAATGTCACCTGACCCTGTGACCTTAGTGACAAGACCCTTCTGTTGGGACATCCATCATGTTTGCTACGCCACTTTAAAAAGACAGTCTAAAACAGCCTATCACAACCTTGAACACTCTAGACTGAATAAAAAAGGTTTTAAAATGGATCACTTGCTGGTTCCAAGGAAGAGGGTCTCCAATTGGAAGGGTGGCAGGGAGCCTAGTGGTTAAGAGTGTTGGGCCAGTAACCGAACCGACTAGGTGAAAAATCTGTCGATGTGCCCTTGAGCAAAACACTTTGTCGCTCTGGATAATGTAAAAAAACAAACAATTAAAATGTTTCCTGAAAGGAAAGCAGTAAATTGCACTGCTTAGAAAAACAGGACAAATCAAAAGAGTGAAATTGAAAAATCCATTACCTGACTATGTCATACCAGAGACAACATGATTGATGTCATGTTGTTCCTGTATTAGGTCGCTGGGACAACATTTGTGGACACTGGATTACATATCTGCTAAACCCCATTATACACAGTTCTCCTCCAGACCTACAGATGGCGATGGGGTGCTCTCTGGCCCGCATTTCAATGTTCTATGCATTTTCTGCTTTGCATGCTGGGAAGGGAGTCTCACCCTAGCAACAGCAAACCATAAACGATGAGAGCTCTCAATTTAGCTAGCGTAGGTAACGGTCAGACAATTCAGTCGTTTTGTTAAATTTACAGTGAAAGAAAATTGAATGTGAGTTTTCCATTATTTCCGAAATGGAAAAACTGCAGGCAGAAGATGCACGGTATTTGAAAAGGTAACGTTAGCTAGCCAGTTGTGGCTAGAAAACAGATGCTGATGTTTTGACAATCAGCTGTGACTGAAACGTGACGTTGTGGCTCATAATGTGTTTTGAAATGATATGATATGAGATTAGATTTGTTTAAATACATGTTGGTGTATATTGAGGTATACAAGAATACTGTCTAGTAGTGTCTAAAGTTACCTAGCTAACAATTTGGTGGTTGGAATTGAATGTTGTAAATCAAAAGCGGTTTATCATCCAGATCTCCATCATCATCACTCGCCTGGCCATTTCTCTCAATCCGTAGGAAAGTAAAACGGGGGAGTTTGGATGTCCACCCGACAGAGAAAGCCCTCGTTGTTCAGTATGAGGTGGAGGCGACTATCCTCGGCGAAATGGGGGACCTAATGGTTGGAGAACGCAAGGAGTGTCAGAAAATGTAACTAAGCATGGGTCTAACGTACCTACGAAAATGGGATTAACGATGAAGTTGTTGTTTTTCCAGTCACCTTCACCTGAACAGAAGTAATGGGTCGTTCGTGAACGAACGGCTCTTTTTGGTGAACGTCGGGAACCGAATCGCATCGGTGAAAGAGCCGTTCATTTGGCTCCCTGATTTGCATACTGCTACTACTGCTCTTTGAGCTCAAAACTAAGTTTTTCTACAGACAAAATAATTAAATAATTACTGCAGAAACAATAAATAGTGCCGAGAGCGTGTCAAATCTAGTCCACGCTGATTTTTCTTTTCCCAGTGTGTAACAATCAAAGTTTTTTTTGCAGCCCATCTAATAATTTGGCCAGGTAAAAATAAATAAATTGAACGCGCATTTCACGATCGGACATAATGGTAGCCTACCTTTTGGTCTTTACATTGAAGATGAGCAATGTTTTCATGGTTATAGATTTTTAACCATTTTGAACGAAGAGCCGTTTGGGAGCCTGTTCTTTTACAAAATGGAGCCAAATGAGCCGGCTCACCGAAAAGACTCGAATGCCCATCACTACTGAACAGGTCCAATGGGTTCTTTTATACATACCATGTTCACCACTAAGTAGAGACCACCAAAACACTGGTCTTTCCTACCCTGTCACATGATGCTTTAGCTTAATTTTTTTGCTTGATATGTATTTTGCATTAACAAAAGATGAGGTCATTGAATAGTTATTGGAAATAACTTTTTTTGTTTCTAAGAAAATTGCTCAAAATGTTGTCACATTTAATTTCTATTCACAGCATCCGCCTTAAAAGCTTAAACGCAAACACGGACATTGCCTCCCTGGCTCGCAAGGTGGTGGAGGAATGCAGGCTCATTCATCCATCTAAACTTCCGGAGGTGGAGCAACTGCTGTTCTACCTGCAGAACCGCAAGAAGCCAGGTAATGTTTACATTATGGTAACGCCTGGTCCTGATTGGCTGCAGTTGCAGGCTGAATGACTCATTATGTAAATACACCTTCATCATGTGCTGACTAGTGCTTTTGCTGTCCTGTCCTCCTCCTCACAGACAAACAAGAGAAACATTCGCCCAGAGACCTCACACCATTTGAGGGGATGGAGGTAAGGAGAGCATTTTTTCAAAAATGTGTACGTGTGTGACTGTGTGTGTGTGTGTGTCTTTGTCTGTGTGTGTGTGTGTGTGTGTGTGACAGTGTGTCTGTACCCATTTCTGTGAGTTTGATACCATGATTCATTGCATTCTTTCTGTGTTATTAATCCTCCTCATTCCTCACCCATACTGTATCTGGGTCATTTTCAGCTGGATGAGGAGGCCAACATCAACAGCATTGATGACTATGTGGAGCTGCTGTATGAAGACATCCCAGAGAAGGTCAGGGGAGCCACCCTCATTCTCCACCTCGCCCGCAACCCTGACAACCTGGAGGAGCTCCTGCAGAATGGTACGCTCCTTCCTTGAGTTCCTTCCTCACCTGTCACAATGGTATGCCCCAGAGTAATCATCTGCTCTGCTCTTGGGGTGGGCATTTTAGAGAATGTCTGTGTTCGAGTACTCTCATGAAAATAATTTTGAGTACTCGAATACTCACATATAAGCGTGAAACCGGGCTGAAGGCAAAACGTTTGCAGTGTGCTATTTGTTGTTCCAATTACTGGTTATACTTGAGTACTTGCACCCATCCCTACTCTGCTCTGCTGGGTGTAAGAAAGCTGTACAGGCCAGATGCTAGCAAAACTCTAGTGTCATTGGTTATTATAATCCACTCTCTCAGCCACCAGCCCATCCCATTCATAAGAAAACACAGCCCTTCCTATTCCCTTCCCTGACCACAGAGCTGTTTTCTCTCACAACAGCACAAGGCCATCATCCATTACAGCTGTCAGAAGATGGCATGGCTTCATTTGTAACTGTCAATATGTATCACAGGTTTACTTTGTCTGTCGTAACGCATCACATGGTCAGATGTTGATAATGGTAGAACGTGCCATGTGAACCGTGAGACCTGGGGTCAGTGAGGAAAGACGAGAGGGCCAGGGGAAATGGAACAACGTGATATGTGTCTTTACAATGAAGATCACCCATAGCTCAAAGCCATGGGAGCCTGGAACCCCTTACATTCCCCCAGGTTCCTTACCTTAACCTCCCACCCCAACCCCAACCTGACTGTCATCTCTAGTTGATTCTTTCCATCACCCCCACCTCCACCCCTACTCCATACTTCCCTTCCCAATCCTAACATTCTGTCCATCTCCTTCAAATAACTCCTTCTCCACTTCATCGATCACTTCCCTCTCCCCTTGCCCCCCACCCTATCGCCTATCTCCCCCTCTTTTTCTCCCATCTCTCTTTCTCCCTCTCTTACCTCCCCCCCCCCCCACACACACACATACCACGTCTCTCTCTCTCTCTCACCCCCCTCCCATCTCTCTCTCTCTAACCTGACTGTGTGTCTGCTGCTCATCAGAGATGGCCCTGGGAGCCCTGGCCAGAGTCCTGAGGGAGGACTGGAAACAGAGTGTTGACATGGCAACCACCATCATCTACATCTTCTTCTGCTTCTCCAGGTACACAACTCTCTCTCTTCCCTCTCTCTCTTCCCTCTCTCTCTTCCCTCTCGCCAAAACTTTAGTTTTCACGTTCCGCTCTCTCTCGTTCTGACAGAAGTCACACAACTATGACAACATAGCGCAAAACCTTACTTTCCAACCGGGGGGTTTCGGAAACACAAAAATTATCCTTGAAAGGATAATATATAAACTACTTGTCAAGAGCGATTTGAGTTGTGAGAGGATCTACGTTGTTCTGAAAACTGATAGTCTTTCTTGGCCCTGCTCCATGGCAGTGCTGTGCTGTTGGGGTTTACAATGATCTGGTTTGTGTCTGGCTGATTATGAGTAGGAGATACTGTTGGACTCAATGCTTTAAGGCTTTATTTTGGCAATTTACTTTTTTAGACTAAGCTCTCAGGTGATGGGATCATTTCAATCTGAGCTCCCGATTGTGGTCCAAATAGGTGTTGCATGATGATGAACGAAGTGCACTTTGAATAAGTGGAAGCCTTGTAAACCTTTTCACTTCCCTCCCCCCATCCCCAGTTTCTCCCAGTTCCATGGGCTAGTGACCCACTATAAGATCGGAGCCCTCTGTATGAACATCATTGAACACGAGCTGAAGAGGTACGACCTCTGGCAGGATGAACTGCAGAAGAAGAAGAAGGCTTATATCCTTCAGCTAAGGTCAAAGGTCACATGAAGGATGTTACGTACCTTGCTGCTTCACAGAGGGTCAATGCCTCAGGGACCCTGCTGTCCTCAGTGTTGACATATCTCTTCATTTTAATCATAATGTCACTGTATAGAAGGAAAGGCAATTCATAGTTGTTCTTTATTGGACGTTGTAATAGGCTGATATAGAACATGTGACTATATAAGCTCTCTCTATCGTGAGTTGATTGGATCAGTATAGCAGCAGCAGCACTCCTTCCTTGACTGTTTTTACGTGAAGAGGACCCTGACAACCAGAATGTGAAGAAGGAACATGAAAAAGCCTTCAAGAAGTACCAGGGCCTCCTGATCAAGCAGGAGCAGCTTCTACGAGGTACAGTAACAGTGGTACACTACCATGGCAACACAGTGATGTGTTGCGCAGCACTGTTAGTGCTTGATAATGCAATGATGTAATTAGCAATAATATTACAATTAATAACATAGTGATTACATTGCATAGTATATTATATATTTTTTACTTTGGTTATTACATGGTGATAACGTGACAGTATTACATAGTATTTTACATAGTTTTTTACATTGGTTATTACATGGTAATAACATGGTGATTATATGACAGTTACATCGTTTTTTACATCGTTTTTTTACATTGGTTATTACATGGTAATAACATGGTGATAACATGACAGTATTACATAGTATTTTACATCTTTGTTACATTGGTTATAACAGAGAGTGATTACATGACAGTATTACATAGTATATTATTATTTAAAACATTTTTTACATTGGTTATAACATATTGCTCTAACTTGTTATTACTATCTAATTCTCAAGTCCCTGTGCTCCCCAGTGTCTCTGTACCTGTTGTTGAACCTGGCTGAGGACACACGCACAGAGCTGAAGATGAGGAACAAGAACATCGTCCACATGCTGGTGAAGACCCTGGACCGGGAGGACGAGGAGCTGCTGGTGCTGGTGGTCTCCTTCCTCAAGAAACTCAGCATCTTCCTGGAGAACAAGAACGACATGGTACGAGAGAGGGAGGGAGGGAGGGGGAGGGAGAGGGAATAGAGGGATAGAGAGAGAGGGAGGGGGGATAGAGAGAGAGAGGGATAGAGAGGGGGGATAGAGGGATAGAGAGAGAGGGAGGGGGGATAGAGGGAGGGAGGGGGGGAATGGGATTGAGGGATAGAGAGGGAGGGAGGGAGGGGGAGATGGGATAGAGGGAGGGGGGAGATGGGATAGAGGGAGGGAGGGGGGGAGATGGGATAGAGGGATAGGAGAGAGGGAGGGGGGATGGATGGAGTAGAGGGATAGAGAGGGGGGATGTGAGGAGGGGGTAGAGGGATAGGAGGGGAGGGGGGACTCGGGGAGGGCGGGGGGATGGGATGAGGGAGGAGGGGGGAGATGGGTAGGGCGATCGAGAGAGAGGGAGGGGGGAGGGAGGGGGAGCTGGATGCGGGAGGGAGGGGGGTTAGAGGGAGGAGGATAGGGAGAGGGGAATGGAGGGGGATAGAGGAAGGGGGAATGGAGGGGGATAGAGGGAGGGAGGGGGAGAGGGGTTAGAGGGAGGGAGAGGGGATAGAGAGAGAGGGGAATGGAGGGGGATAGAGGAAGGGGGAATGGAGGGTTGGATAGAGAGAGGGGGGATAGAGAGAGGGGAGAGATGCATGGACGGACGGATGGATGGAGGGAGAAAAAAGGACAGGCGTTGCAACATGGTGAGGAAAATACATACAAAGTCTCAGGTCCTCCGACTGAGGTACTGTGAAAAGATTTGTAATGGTTTACATGTTGTTAGTGTTAGTTCTTTTTGTTGATGTCTTCTAGTGCAGACTTTAGTGATCACTGCTCTATGTCCTGTCCTATAGTGCAGTTCCACCTGGATCCAATCTCAGCCAGTTGGTGTGCCTTTATCAACCAGGCTGAGTTAGGAACAGTTTTTATCTCCTTGTTTCTTTTTAGTGTGTCTTTGACTCTGATAAAAGGCAGCCCATTCAGACTCCATGTGTCCAGCACCACAGAAGAACACTGTTATTCACAGAGTATCACTTCACCTCTGGGGAAGGTTTCATTTACAGCCTGGTTAGCTACAAAAAGAGAATCGGTTAGTGATTTGGAATCAGATTCTATTTATTACACATGTTTGTATTGAACACCAGATACCAGTTGTAAGAACTACAGTTGATTACGTGCAGACTGGATTTGTAATTGTGGAGATTTCATTGTGAGCACAGTAGCTGTGTACTTGACACACACACACCTCTTCCACTGTGCAGGTATATGGTTTGCTCTACTTTCCTGGTGCGTTTTAGACATGTCCTTGATGCATCAGCTCAACACCTCCACCTGCCTGTAAACATTGTGGATCTACGCTGCTTTCTCTTGACATTCTGACTGTTACAAATCAGTTGAGTTTATTTCAAGTAATGAATTGAATGAACTCAGTTAAAATGAAGTATGATGAAGTCCAATACAGGATCTCTCTATAACAGGAAGAGGGATAGTCGGATTGGTTATTGAAGTAGGCTTTGTAGAGGTGTACATTATACTGGGGTGTGTTGAGTGACTAGTCTCTCCCTCTCCTCTGTTCCCTGGTGTTCAGGCAGAGACGTATGCGGTGGAGAAGCTGGCCAGGCTGCTGGCCTGTGATCATGAGGACCTACTGAACACCACCCTGCGCCTGCTCCTCAACCTCTCCTTTGACACAGGCCTCCGCAGACAGATGGTCCAGACTGGACTCATCCCCAAACTCTCCTTAATGCTAGGTACTAACTGACACAACTCCCTGTGTGTGTGTGTGTGTATGTGTATGTGTGTGTGTGTGTGTGTGTGTGTGTGTGTGTGCGTGTGTGCGTCAGTATGTCTAAGTAAGTGTGTGTCAGTGTGTGCAGGTGCAGGCTGTTATAAAGCTGTGGAGACAGCGAGGCTGGTTCTGGCTCTGGTGGCCATTAGAAAAATGACTTCCTGAAACTAGATCCAGTGTGTGATTGGTGCGTTAGCTCATCCAGGGGGTCATGTGGCACGGCTGGGAGCATCTGTGATGGGCCCTTTGAAGCCTCTCCAGGGAGGGTCGGGTAACGTGCATAATTAATATAATATATTTGTTAGAATAACACTCCGGGCCCCAGCATAAATGTTGTTTTTGCAGGAGCCGGCCGGAGAGGCTGAGGAGGGGTCTACAGAGATTTGGGAGGGATTTTTTTCTTTTCTTTTAGATTGAGACACACACTTGTGCACGCACACCTACGCATACACACATAATGCACGTCCTGTCCACGCTTAGGTTAAACATAGCTGGATATATCTAATTTTCAGTGGAGGCTGCTGAGGGGAGGATGGCTCATAATAATGGCTGAAACAGAGCAAATGGAATGAAATCAAACCATGTTTGATGTATTTGATACCATTCCACTAATTCCGCTCCAGTCATTACCACGAGCCCGTCCTCCCCAATTAAGGTGCCACCAACCTCATGTGCTCATTTTAGAGAGCGTGTGTGTCTGTGTGTGCGTTTGTAAGATTCACTCTTTCCCATTGCTACTACACTTTTGTCTATTCTTGACTTTCCCAGTATGTGTGTGTGATTTCCAAACTCAGATGAATAGAGGCCTTATTAATCATCATGTAGGCTCTGTGATGTGGTGTCCTCTCCTCTGTGTGTTTGTGTCCAGAGATTCCCTTCTTATCTCCAGAGAGATAACCGCTCCTCTCTTCTCCTCTCTGCTCTGTTCTTCACTGTTATGCTGTGAGGGTGTTAGGTGACGTCTGCCAGCCCTCTGATCCCTGTCCCATCAGGCCCCACTAGGGGTCCCAACCTGGGCTGATAAGATGAAAGGGAGAAGTGTGGGCTACTCCTCCTGATCCCACCATCTGAACCAGGATTTAGGACCGACTACGACATCTCAATCCTTTCAACCCTTCACCTGACCACTGGCCCTTTGTTGTTGACGTGACTATCTATCATAGGTGCTGCTGAAGTACCACGTTTTACAGTAAAGAAAATACTCGCAATTTATTCCAGAATCATTCCATTTTTACAATTACTGAATGGCCATTGCTGGGACATTTTCTTTATGGTTTTTTTCTTTGAAGGTTGAAGCAGTACTCTTATTTACTCAATACACTGCACTAACAACAATAGTATACTTTCCACAGAACTGCCGCAGATGCCACTAATGCATGGCGGTGTGATTCTATGAAGGTTGAGTGGTTTTAAATCAGAGCAGGGTGTAATTGGAGTTTAGCTCTACCACTAACTGCCCCTGAACATTCTAGATAATTCTTAACGAGTGCTCCACTCTTTTTTTCAGTGGGGCTCTAGTGGTGTTTTGAACATTTTAATGGGGTCTCGCTCCTTCCCAATAAAGGATCCTCCATGTTCCTACCAGTGTAGTGAGGGAGTTTGCCAGGTCAGATGAGTGTGAGTGTGTGTGTGTGTGTGTGAGAGTGTGTCTTGTGTGCAAGCTCATGTGAGTGTGTGTGTTTAGGTATAGGTTGAGGGCTCCACTAATGAGAAGCACATGTTTGGGCCAATCGTGGCACTGCAAGGGCCTGAGCAGCGTAGCTTTATTAAAGGCAGTAAAATTGATGCTTCCTCCTGTTTCCCCAATGAAACCTCCAAGCCGTCTTTTTTCCCTTGTTTCCAGGGGTTCAGTGAGCACATCTGGTTTCAGTAGGCTGCTATGTGATAAGGCTGCCTGCCCTGCATGGTTCCCTGACCACGGGTTAGGACCAGTTAGTACTGGACTGGGTTGGTCTGCTCTGTCAGATCGGTGGTCTTGCTGGGGCCGATCACTAGTTCTGTTCTGACCCAGTGTGGTTGGCCACTGGGGTCACTGTACCTCTACAGACCAGTCTTGAAACCACCTAGGTCCTCAGACTTTTCAGTGACTCCATGGTGTTCGCTAGCTGCCTCTGGAGCGGCCTGCAGTCACCCTGCAATGGTTTGGGTCAAACTCCTAAACACTCTGAGAGAACAGAGCTACCAGACAGTTTAACACTGATTCAGAGCCACGTCCCTCACACAGCTGTAAGATAACCTCCTATAAACCTGCAAGAAGAACATGTGTTCATTGTCTTTGCATAGCTAGCTTTTCTGCTACTAAACCATATGGTTTTAGAGCGGTGGCTAACTGGATGTTATTTAACCTGTATTGTAGTGGACTTGTGTGTCGCGCACTCGTCCCATGAAGCAGAACGAAAGTGTACAGCTCCTCATTAATTTATCCATTCACCGCTCTCTCTCGGTCTCTCTCTCTCTCTCTGTGCTTCTCCTCTCTCTCTATGTCTCTCTCTCTCTCTGTCTCTCTCTATGTCTCTCTCTGTCTCTCTCTGTCTCTCTCTCTATGTCTCTCTGTCTCTCTCTATGTCTCTCTCTATGTCTCTCTGTCTCTCTCTGTCTCTGTGCTTCTCTCTCTCTCTCTGTTTATGTTCCAGCTGACGAGAGCCAGGGACAGCTGTGTATGTGCATTCTGTACCACATCAGTGTGGATGACCGATTCAAGTCCATGTTTGCCTACACAGACTGCATACCACAGGTAAGACTGGGTAATGTACACCCAGGGGCCAGGGATTGCAGACAAGACAGCATTAGCATTGAGGCTAACAGCCCTGGAATTATTCATGAGCGAGAGGGAGGGGGTGAGAGAGAGGGAGGGGGTGAGAGAGAGGGAGGGGTGGAGAGAGAGGGAGGGGTGGAGAGAGAGGGAGGGGTGGAGAGAGAGGGAAAGAAGGAGAGGAATAAATGGGGATGGATGGACAGAGGAGAGGGATGGAGAGAGAAGAGAGGGCTTGAGAGAGAGGGGGGCACGCTACATCTGCACCCAAACCACCGGAGGATGGCTGCTCAGCCTTCACTCTCACTGTCATTGGAGCGCTGCGTCAGTCATCTAGCTAGCCCTTAGTGGAAAGAGACCCTTCTCTCTGTCTTCTCTGTAGCCAAGGCACATTCTGGTGTGTAGATTACACACACATACTGTATCTACATAATATATTTTTAGTGTTAAAGTTTTGAGTGATGTCAGTATGTAATTGAGGAGATGTCATATTGATTAAGTTATGTCTGATTTCCTCTCAGTCTTTCATAGATTATTCAAATGCTTATTCTGTTTGTGTTGTGAGATTGGGTGTAAATGCGGGCCAGATGCTCATAAACAGGGCTGTTTGTGTAGTGGGTCGTGTTGCCAGTAGATCTGTCCTGCGGGGTCGGAGTGTCAGAGAGGATGCTGGGTAGCAGCATGACCGGAAATAGCCCTTTGACCCCAGGCCCTCTAACCCCACCCTCCCCTCTAGGGATGGTCTTGAGCCCCTCTCCTCTCCACCTATTCTTTGTCCTTGCCCTTTGGCCAGCTCAACATATCCCTCCCTCCCTCCCTGCCTCCCCTACTCCTTTTCCTTTCTTTCCTTCTCCTCTCTACCTCTCCCCCTTGGCCTGGGGCAAGGCCTGACCCAGCTCTTCTCCTCTCTACCTCTCCCCCCTGGGCCTGGGGCAAGGCCTGACCCATCTCTTGTCCTCTCTACCTCCCCCCTGGGCCTAGGGAAAGGCCTGACCCAGCTCTTCTCCTCTCTACCTCCCCCCTGGGCCTAGGGAAAGGCCTGACCCAGCTCTTCTCCTCTCTACCTCCCCCCTGGGCCTGGGGAAAGGCCTGATCCAGTTCTTCTCCTCCTCTCCTCAGCTCCTGCTAGAGTCAGCTCTGAGCTGGGAGAGAGAGGCTGGTGGTTGGACATGGGGTTATGAGGGAGAGGCTGGAGGCTGGACATGGGGTTATGAGAAAGAGACTGGACATGGGGTTATGAGAGGGAGGCTGGAGGCTGGACATGGGGTTATGAGGGAGAGGAATGGAGTTAGGGGCAGAGGGTGGTTAGGGGCAGAGGGTGGTTAGGAGCAGAGGAGGGTTAGGGTGGATGTTAGGGGCGGAGAGGTGTGAGGGGTTAGGGGCGGAGGGGTGTTAGGGGCAGAGGTGGGTTAGGGTCGGAGGGGTGGAGAGGGGTTAGGGTTTGGAGGAGAGTGATGGGTTAGACAGTGAGGGGTTAGACAGTGAGGGGTTAGACAGTGAGGGTGTGCTGTGTAGTGGGGTGCTAGGCCTCCTCTGGCTCTGCTGTGGTAAATAAGCAGAGGCAGGTGCCAGAGAGTCTAGACGGGGCTGATTTGGGGTCCGGGGCCCCTGGTATGTGATACCCGACTCGAGGCCTGTGTGTGTGTGTGTGTGTGTGTGTGTGTGTGTGTGATTGCACACCGCTGACTCCTCACAGGGAGCGGGCCTGCAGTGCCCCTGCTTAAAGCCTTTCCTGTTTAATGTTAAATCAGAGAAGGAGAGCTGCGAGACGGGGAGCGGAGGGCAGGGGCTGTGGGCAACTCGTTTTTGGACCTACGCCCGCCCATAGTTGACCTCCAGGGCCGTTTCCTGGTGGACCCTCCCCTTCCCCCTCCTCAGCTCGTCCCTCCTCCCTCCTCAGCCCCTCCCCCCCTCCTTAGCCCCCCCTCTTCCCTCTCTCTCCCATCTCTCCATCCCTTTTTTCTCTCTCTCTCTCCATATATCCATCCCTCTCTCCATCATCTCTCTCCCTCTCTCTCGCTCTCTCTATATATATATATATATATATATATATATATATATATATATATATCCATCCCTCTCTCCATCATCCTCTCTCTCTCTCTCTCTCTCTCTCTCTCTCTCTCTCTCTCTCTCTCTCTCTCTCTCTCTCTCTCTCACTCCATATATCCGTCCCTCTCTTCTGCTCTCTTTCCCCATCTATTTCCCTATCTCTCCCATTGCTCCATCCCTCTCTCCATCTATCTCTCCCTTTCCCTCTTTTTTTTTTTCTCTCTCTCCCCATTCCTCTCTAGCTCTCTCTCCTCGTTGTCTGTTTGCAAGCCCTCTCAGGTTTCCCCTCCACAGTCTTGGCACAGACCTGACTAGACAGCAGCGAGTGTACTGCACCTCTACCCACCTTTCTGCTCACTTCAGAGAAGGGCTGCCTGTTCCCATACTCTGCGGTTAACCCAACTTGTGTCACCATGGCCACCCACTAAATGACTGTATGGAAGCTATGTAGACCAGTGTCATCAACATGGTGATGATGTCATTCATCCACTCAGCCAATGATGTCGCCTAGCAAACATCCATCCACAAACAGTAGAGAGAAAGGCTTGGGAACAGACACACCCATAACACACTGACTGACTGCTGGCCAATGATATTGATCGCTGATGAATTGGTATTGATGAGTTGATTGACATTTATTATATGATTGATTGACAGTTGATGAAGATGCTGTTTGATTGTGGTGAGAGCCCCATGGACCCTGAGCTCATCTCCTTCTGCATCAACCTGGCAGCCAACAAGAGGAACGCACAGGTCATCTGTGAAGGTACAACCCACACGCGCACACAAACACGCACACACATACTCACACACACACACACACACACTCCTAATCCTGTTCTCCTGTGCCTAGGTAATGGTCTGAAGATGCTGATGAAGAGGGGCCTGAAGCTAAAGGATGTTCTTATCATGAAGATGATCAGGAACTTGTCACAACATGACGGACCCACCAAGAACCTCTTCATAGTGAGTACTAGACGTACTCACACTCTAACACTGATCAGCTTCAACATGCTTAGTATAGAGATAGACGGATAAGACTAGACAGGCTCACATGATCTGTGTTCTTATGCTGGTCACTGAATCCATTGCTACACTATTAGAACAGAACATTTTAGTGCTGAACCGACCCCCTTCATGTACCCCCTAAGGACTATGTGGGTGACCTAGCAGCTCAGATAGGAGCGGAGGAGAGAGAGGAGTATGTGATAGAGTGTCTGGGAACTCTGGCTAACCTCACCATCCGAGACCTGGACTGGGAACTGGTGCTGAAGGAGTACAACCTGGTGCCCTACCTCAAAGACCACCTCAAACCAGGTAGGCCTCAAAGACCGCTTCAAACCATGGAGGGAGGGAGGCGGAGGGGGAGAAAAGGTGGGGTGAGGGAGGACTGGTGCTGTAACTTACAGGTGCATTCACCCTGAAGAACTTAAGCAAGATGACAGACATGGTTGCCCTGTTTCTAGCTCCTATACAACTTTCAGTATTTTTTGTTGTTGTTTTATTTGTGTTATTTCTTACATTATTTGCTCGGAATGTTTCTTGAATTATTATCTACAGCCGAAAATAACTTTGGGATATTAGATCGGCGGTCACTCACCAGCATTTCGACCAGAAATTCAAATTCCCTGAATTGGATCCTTTGTTTGAACTCCCCAAGGCAATTCCATTAATCCCAGGGGCTGCTCCAAGTCGCTGTTGACGGAGAAGAGGAACAAGGAGTGGGCTCATAGTCAGACTCAGAAGGCGTGCATAACATCTACCGCTTCCAAGTATATTATGCGCTAACGCTCAGTCCCTGGACAATAAAGTAGACAAGCTTAGGGCGAGGATCTCCTTCCAGAGAGACATCAGGGACTGTAACATACTCTGTTTTACGGAATCATGGCTCTCTCCGGATATATTGTCCCCGTCCATTCAGCCAGCGGGGTTCTCCGTACATCGCGCGGACAGGAAGAAAGATCTCTCCGGGAAAAAGAAAGTTAGAGGTGTATGTTTCATGATTAACTACTCATGGTGTGATTGTGGTAACGTACAGGAACTCCAGTCCTTTTGTTCTCCCGATCTGGAATACCTCACCATGAAATGCCGGCCGCATTACCTCCTGAGAGAATTTTCTTCAGTCATCGTCACGGCCGTGTATGTCCCCCCCCAAGCCGACCCCGCGACGTCTCTCAAGCAATTACTCTGGACTTTGTGCAAACTGGAAACCGCATATCCTGAGGCAGCATTTATTGTAGCTGGGAACTTCAATAAAGGACATCTGAGGAAAATGCTACCAAAGGTTTATCAACACATCTCCTGTGCTACTCGATCAATGAGCGCTCTTGACCATTGATACTCCCCCTTCCGTGATGTCTACAAGGCCCTCCCCCGCCCTCCCTTCAGCAAATCAGATCACGCCTCCATTTTGCTATAGGCAGATACTTAAAATAAGTACCCGTGGTAAGGACTGTTCAACGTTGGTTTGACCAATCAGAATCTATGCTTCAAGACTGTTTGATCACGCAGACTGGGAAATGTTCCGACGTATACACTGACTCGGTGACTGAGTTCATCAGGAAGTACATAGAGGATGTTGTTACTACTGTGATGATTAGAACTTATCCAAACCAAAAACCGTGGATAAATGGCAGCATTCACGCAAAACTGAAAAGCGTTAACCACCGCATTTAACCACAGCAAGGTGACTGGGAACATGGACGTGTACAACCAGACCAGCTATGCCCTCCGTAAGGCAATAGAAAACGCAAAAACGACAGTACAGGGATAAAGTGTAGTCGCAATTCAACGGCTCAAACGCAAGACGTATGTGGCAGAGACAATCACGAGTTATAAAGGGAAAGCCAGCCACGTTTGGGACACTGACGCCTTGCTGCCAGACAAGCTAAAAACAAGAGGAATACCTATGTAAGAGTCCTGTTCATTGACTACAGCTCAGCCTTCAACACCATAGTGCCCTCCAAGCTCATCATAGGGCCCTGGGTCTGAACCCCTCCCTGTGCAACTGGGTCCTAGACTTCCTGACGGGCCAACCCCAGGTGATGAAGGTAGGCAACAGCACATCCGCCACGCTGTTCTTCAACACTGGGGCCCCACAAGGGTGCGTGCTCAGCCCCCTCCTGTACTCCCTATTCACCCATGACTACGTGGCCACGCACGTCTCCAACTCAATCCAGTTTTCTGACGACACAACAGTGGTAGGCCTGATTACCAACAACAACGAGATAGCCTACAGGGAGGATGTGAGGGCCCTGGCGGAGTGTTGTCAGAATAATAACCTCTCCCTCAACGTCAACAAAACGAAGCTGATCTTGGACTTCAGGAGACTGCAGAGAGAGCACGCCCCCATCCACATCGAGAGCACGCCCCCATCCACATCGACGGGGCCGCAGTGGAGAGGGTGAAAAGCTTCAAGTTCCTCGGCATGCACATCACTGACAACCTGAAATGGTCCATCCACACATACAGTGTGGTGAAGAAGGTGCAACAGCTCCTCTTCAACCTCTGGAGGCTGAAGAAATTTGGCTTGGCCCCTAAGACCCTCACAAACCTCTACAGATGCACCATTGAGAGCATCCTACCAGGCAATTGCACTGTCCGCAACCGCAGGGCTCTCCAGGGGGTGGTGCGGTCAGCCCAACGCGTCACCGGGGGCACACTGCCTGCCCTCCAGGACATCTACAGCAACCGGTGTCACAGGAAGGCCAAGAAGATCGTCTTTCTATACCCGACGTAAGACCACTGCAAAAAACACTCAAACTGGACAGTTTTATCTCTATCTCTACATTCAAAGACTCAATCATGGACACTTACTGACACTTGTGGCTGCTTCGCGTGATGTATTGTTGTCTTTACCGTTTTGCCCTTTGTGCTGTTGTCTGTGCCTAACAGTGTTTGCACCATGTTGTGTTGTTGTCATGTGGTGTTGCTACCATGCTGTGTTGTCATGTGTTGCTGCCATGCTGTGTTGTTGTCTTAGGTCTCTCTTTATGTAGTGTTGTGGTGTCTCTCTTGTTGTGATGTGTGTTTTGTCCTACATTTCTTAGTTTTTTTATCCCTGCCCCCTTCCTCCCCAGGAGGTAGGCCGTCATTGTAAATAAGAATTTGTTCTTAATTGACTTGCCTAGTTAAATAAAGGTCAAAAAAAAAAAAAAAAAGATCATCAAGGACATCAGCCACCTGAGCCACGGCCTGTTCACCCCACTACCATCTAGAAAGCGGAGACAGTACAGGTGCATCAAAGCTGGGACCGAGAGACTGAAAAACAGTGTCTATCTCCAGGCCATCAGACTTTTAAATAGTCACCACTATCTGGCCTCCACCCGGTACCCTGCCCTGAACGTAGTGACTGTTACTTGCTGGCTACCACCCGGTATTCTACCCTGCACCTTAGAGACTGCTGCCCTATGTACATAGTCGTTGAACACTGGTCACTTTAGTAATGTTTACATACTGTTTTATCCACTTCATATGTACAGTGCATTCGGAAAGTATTCAGACTGTTGACTTTTTCCACATTTTGTTACGTTACAGCCTTATTCTAAAATGGATAAAAAAAATATTATAATAATCCCGTCATCAATCTACACACAATACCCCATAATGCAAAAACTGAAATATCACATTTACATTATTATTCATCCCTTTACTCAGTACTTTGTTGAAGCACCTTTGGCAGCGATTACAGCCTCGAGTCTTCTTGGGTATGACGCTACAAGCTTAGCACACCTGTACATCCTATTAGCCAACGTTCAATCTTTTGAGAATAAAATTGACGATTTAAGATTACGGTTATCCTACCAACGGGACATTAAAAACTGTAATATCTTATGTTTCACGGAGTCGTGGCTGAACGACAACAATGATAACATTCAGCTAGCAGGCTATACGCTACATCGACAGGACAGAACGGCAGACTCTGGTAAGACAAGGGGTGGCGGTCTCTGTATATTTGTAAACAACAGCTGGTGCACAAAATCAAATACTAAGGAAGTCTCGAGGTTTTGCTCGCCTGAGGTAGAGTATCTTATGATAAGCTGTAGACCACACTATTTACCAAGAGAGTTTTCATCTATATTTTTCATAGCTGTCTATTTACCACCACAAACCAATGCTGGCATTAAGATTGCACTGAATGAGTTGTACAAGGCCATTAATCAACAGGAAAACGCTCATCCAGATGCAGCGCTCCTAGTAGCCGGGGACTTTAATGCAGGGAAACTTAAATCCGTTCTACCTAATTTCTACCAGCATGTTAAATGTGCAACCAGAGGGAAAAAAACTCTAGACCACCTTTACTCCACACACAGAGACGCATACAAAGCTCTCCCTCGCCCTCCATTTGGCAAATCTGACCATAACTCTATCCTCCTGATTCCTGCTTATAAGCAAAAACTGAAGCAGGAAGCACCAGTGATTCGGTTAATAAAAAAGTGGTCAGATGACGCAGATGCTAAGCTACAGGACTGTTTTGCTAGCACAGACTGGAACATGTTCCGGGATTCTTCAGACAGCATTGAGGAGTACACCACATCAGTCACTGGCTTCATCAATAAGTGCATCGATGATGTCGTCCCCACAGTGACCGTACGTACATACCCCAACCAGAAGCCATGGATTACAGGAAACATCCGCACTGAGCTAAAGGGTAGAGCTGCCGCTTTCAAGGAACGGGACTCTAACCCGGACGCTTATAAGAAATCCCGCTATGACCTCCGACGAACCATCAAACAGGCAAAGAGTCAATACAGGTCTAAGATTGAATCATACTACACTGGCTCTGACGCTCGTCGGATGTGGCAGGGCTTGAAAACTATTACAGACTACAAAGGGAAGCACAGCCGCGAGCTGCCCAGTGACACAAGCCTACCAGACGAGCTAAACCACTTCTATGCTCGCTTCGAGGCAAGCAACACTGAAGCATGCATGAGAGCACCAGCTGTTCCGGACGACTATGTGATCACGCTCTCCGTAGCCGATGTGAGTAAGACTTTTAAGCAGGTCAACATTCACAAGGCCGCAGGGCCAGACGGATTACCAGGACGTGTACTCCGAGCATGTGCTGACCAACTGGCAAGTGTCTTCACTGACATTTTCAACATGTCCCTGACTGAGTCTGTAATACCAACATGTTTCAAGCAGACCACCATAGTCCCCGTGCCCAAGAACTCTAAGATAACCTGCCTAAATGACTACCGACCCGTAGCACTGACGTCTGTAGCCATGAAGTGCTTTGAAAGACTGGTCATGGCTCACATCAACAGCATAATCCCAGAAACCCTAGACCCACTCCAATTTGCATACCGCCCCAACAGATCCACAGATGATGCAATCTCTATCGCACTCCACACTGCCCTTTCCCACCTGGACAAGAGGAACACCTACGTGAGAATGCTATTCATTGACTACAGCTCAGCATTCAACACCATAGTGCCCTCTAAGCTCATCACTAAGCTAAGGATCCTGGGACTAAACACCTCCCTCTGCAACTGGATCCTGGACTTCCTGACGGGCCGCCCCCAGGTGGTAAGGGTAGGTAACAACACATCTGCCACACTGATCCTCAACACGGGGGCCCCTCAGGGGTGCGTGCTCAGTCCCCTCCTGTACTCTCTGTTCACCCATGACTGCATGGCCAGGCACGACTCCAACACCATCATTAAGTTTGCCGACGACACAACAGTGGTAGGCCTGATCACCGACAACGATGAGACAGCCTATAGGGAGGAGGTCAGAGATCTGGCCGTGTGGTGCCAGGACAACAACCTCTCCCTCAACGTGACCAAGACAAAGGAGATGATTGTGGACTACAGGAAAAAAAAGAGGACTGAGCACGCCCCCATTCTCATCGACGGGGCTGTAGTGGAACAGGTTGAGAGCTTCAAGTTCCTTGGTGTCCACATCACCAACGAACTATCATGGTCCAAACACACCAAGACAGTCGTGAAGAGGGCACGACAAAGCCTATTCCCCCTCAGGAGACTAAAAAGATTTGGCATGGGTCCTCAGATCCTCAAAAAATTCTACAGCTGCACCATCGAGAGCATCCTGACTGGTTGCATCACCGCCTGGTATGGCAACTGCTTGGCCTCTGACCGCAAGGCACTACAGAGGGTAGTGCGTACGGCCCAGTACATCACTGGGGCAAAGCTCCCTGCCATCCAGGACCTCTATACCAGGCGGTGTCAGAGGAAGGCCCTCAAAATTGTCAAAGACTCCAGCCACCCTAGTCATAGACTGTTCTCTCTGCTACCGCACGGCAAGCGGTACCGGAGTGCCAAGTCTAGGTCCAAAAGACTTCTCAACAGCTTCTACCCCCAAGCCATAAGACTCCTGAACAGCTAATCATGGCTACCCGGACTATTTGCACTGCCCCCCCACCCCATCCTTTTTACGCTGCTGCTACTCTGTTAAGTATTTATGCATAGTCACTTTAACTCTACCCACATGTACATATTACCTCAACTACCTCAACTAGCCGGTGCCCCCGCACATTGACTCTGCAACGGTACCCCCCTGTATATATAGCCTCCCTACTGTCACTTTATTTTACTGTATATATAGCCTCCCTACTGTCACTTTATTTTACTTCTGCTCTTTTTTTCTCAACACTTTTTTTGTTGTTGTTTTATTCTTACTTTTTTTGTTTAAAATAAATGCACTGTTGGTTAAGGGCTGTAAGTAAGCATTTCACTGTAATGTCTGCACCTGTTGTATTTGGCGCATGTGACCAATAAAATTTGATTTGATTTGATTTGTATTTGGGGAGTTTCTCCCATTCCTCTCTACAGATCCTCTCAAGCTCGGTCAGCTTAGATGGGTAGCGTTGCTACACAGCTATTTTCAGGTATCTCCAGAGATGTTCCATCAGGTACAAGCAGTGGTGTAAAGTACTTAAGTAAAAATACTTGGTATCTGTACTTTACTTTACTATTTCTATTTTTGACAACTTTTACTTTTATGTCACTATATTCCTAAAGAAAATAATGTACTTTTTACTCCATACATTTTCCCTGACACCCAAAAGTACTCGTTACATTTTGAATGCTTAGCAGGACAGGAAAATGGTCCAATTTACGCACTTATCAAGATAACATCCCTGGTCATCCCTACTACCAGATCTGGCAAATTCACTAAACACAAATGCTTCATTTGTAAATGATATCCGAGTGCTGGAATGTGCCCCTGGCTATCCATAAATGTAAAAAACTAGAAAATAGTGCAGTCTGGTTTGCTTAATATAAGGAATTTGAAATGATTTATACTTTTATCAATTACATTTACTTTTGATACTTAAGTATATTTAAAAGCAAATACTTTTAGACTTTTACTCAAGTAGTATTTTACTGGGTGACTTTCACTTTTACTTGAGTCATTTTCTATAAACATATCTTTACTTTTACTCAAGTATGACAATTCGGTACTTTTTCCACCACTGGGTTCAAGTCCGGGCTCTGGCTGGGCCACTCAAGGACTTTCAGAGACTTGTCCCGAAGCCACTCCTGCGTTGTCTTGGCTGTGTGCTTAGGGTCGTTGTCCTGTTGGAAGGTGAACCTTCGCCCCAGTCTGAGGTCCTGAGCGCTCTGGAGCAGGTTTTCATCAAGGATCTCTCTGTACTTTGCTTCGTTCATCTTTCCCTCGATCCTGACTAGACTCCCAGTCACTGCTGCTGAAAAACATCCCCATAGCATGATGCTATATTCTGGACTCTGACATTGCTCGTTCTGATATTTCTTAATTTCTTTATTTTTTGGGATTTGTGTGTATTGTTAGGTATTACTACACTGTTGGAGCTAGAAGCATAAGCATTTCTCTACACGTGCGATAACATCTGCAAAATATGTTTACATGACCAATAACATTTGATTTGACAAGCAAAAACTGTTAGACCATACCACAGTTTTCAATTTGAACAAATTCTATCCCATGGCTTTCTCGCACCCCAACCTCTCTAACCCATAATCTTTATCACTCTCTCTGTGTCACTGACTGGTCCTACATCATGGGATGATGTTAGAGAACACACACACTGGGGGCTGTTACCTTTGAACTTAGTGACCTCTCCCTTTTAAGCATTGATCTCTTTGACCCCTGACCTCTGCCCCCACCAGGCTCGGCAGAGGATGACCTTATCCTAGAGGTGGTGATCATGATAGGGACGGTATCCATGGATGACTCCTGTGCTGCCACGATGGCCAAGTCTGGCATCATCCCTGCCCTCATCGAGCTGCTCAACGGTAGGTATTAGGTAGGACCCATGCTGGGGTCCACTATCTAGAGGGTTAATGTTAAGATGGAGCAGAATGGAGGTTATTCCAGTGAAATGCTTGTCTGTTATGAACAAACTAAAACGACATTCTTCAGGGGAACTCGTATTTGTCCTGACCTCCATACGTCTGTGCCTGTGTGTCAACCCAACAGGAGGAGGAGTAGTTTGTGTCAGATTGTCTATGTGTTGTTTAACCTCTGTCTCTCTCTCCTCTTTCTCTCTGTCTCTGTCTCTCTCTGTCTCTGTCTCTGTCTCTCTCTCTCTCTCTCTCTCTGTCTCTCTATTTATTTATTTATATATATATATATAGCCCAACAGGAGGACGATGAGTTTGTGTGTCAGATCGTCTATGTGTTCTACCAGATGGTGTTCCACCAAGCCACCAGGGACGTCATCATCAAGGACACACGTATCCTTTCTCTTCCCACAATGCAATTCATCTCAGAACTACAGCCCAAATGATCCTTCAATGTCCAACTCCTAAATTACTTACAATTTCACCCCATATTTACCTCACTCTGTACTGTATTATGTGTTACCATGGTAACCAACAGGACCACCCTCTGCTTCTTTCAATGTGTGTTTCCATAGCAATAAAAATCACCCTATCAATGACCTCAGCGCTCCACACAGTGTAATGCTGTACAGTTGGAATCAGAGGCGGTGTACGTAAAATTACCAATAGCTTGTGGTAGTATTTGATAGATGTTTTTCTTTCTGTGGAGAATATTACAGAGGGATCTCTGCCAAGTGGTCTGCCTTGGGAGAGGCTTTCTGCTTTACAATATCTCTCTCTCATTGCAGGAAATGTAAGAGTTGTTCATTTGGCCACAGGGCAACTGTCTCGTGTCTCCTTTCTAGAAATGAAAGAGCAAAAGCAGAGTGTTTCCTCTACGTTTCTTTCTGTCACTGTGATCTTGATTAAACAGACATTGTTGAATGACGTGTTTGAGGACAAGGAACAGCAAAATGTTAGGGTTAGAAATGTAGAAAGAAAGAAGAAATGTAGCGAGAAAGTACCTCTCCCTCCTTCTGTTGTCCTTTCCTGGACTCCCTCTCTCCAGAGGCTCCTGCCTACCTCATTGACCTGATGCACGACAAGAACGCTGAGATACGGAAAGTCTGTGATAACACACTGGACATCATCGCTGTGAGTATCTATCTATATTCTATCTGTCTGTCTGTCTGTCTGTCGCCTCTCAATGCATAATGTCTCATCCCCAAGTTACCATATATCATGAATGGGATTCTTACTGATTAATCAGGAATCAATTCCTGCTTTTCTGTCATTTTTCTTCCCATTCATTTCTAAATTAAACTGACCTGACCTACCTACCTGAGCCAACATCCTGCTTTTCTTGTTGTCCTGATCCATCCTTGCTTAATGTAGGTAGGCACAGAGGAAATGGTACTGTTCAGATCGCCTGGACTGGGAAACTCAATTCCTGGGTCAGATTTTGATTGACAGGTGTGTTTAAGTCCCAGTCATATTGTGATCTGTCACAGACCTGAGATCAGTGTAATTAGCAGTAGACTACAGCCATCCGGGCTGTGGGCTGTGGAAGGTAGTGGGGGGAGAGGAAGTGTTTCATTGAAATTATCAGTGAGAACTATTAAGCTGTGAACAACATGAAAGACCAGGACAGGCTCTGGAGAGTGTCAGAGCAGGACAGGGGAGGTGAGAGAGAAAGCAGACCCTGCCCTGAAGACACACACACACACACACACACACACACACGATCATTAGTCTTCATAGCTGCAGGCTACCTTAGCAGCACACACCATTACTGTGTGTTCTTGAATCGTTCCTCTTTGATCACACACAGCGCACACACACACACACCCTCAGAGAGAGAGAAACCTACATATAGATGGTTCTTCTAGGTCAGACAGAAGTGTAATTCATGGGGATATTCTTAGATTCAGATTTTCTCTAAGGAGGAACATTGGAAATGCTCTGAACACTGTTTTATATCCGCTGGCTCCTTTCCTCTGAGACGTCATGAGCTCAACTCTCTGGTTATGATGGATTAGGCTTCATATCAAACCCTTACTACAGACTGATAGACCCGGGGAAGTCAGCCGTGTAGTCATTCATCCGCTTTAGCCATGTCATAAATCTGCACTTTGACAAAAAGTGTCACTGACACTGGCCCTGCGATGCGACAGTGGGCCCGTTTGAGGCCTGGGCCTCGGATGGCTGTCAGCGGGCTCTGTTCTGGGTCTAGATGATTAATCTGCAGGGCCTGGGCGCGTGGAGTACAGCGGCTCAAAGAAGGCCTTTATCTCCCACTTGGCCCCCGCAGAGAAAGGAAAACAGAATCTGTGGTCCTCCTCAGCCAAGCTCCGCACACACACACACACACACACACACCCACACCATCCATCGAACCACACCAGGTTTTCATTAGTAACAGCATCAGGAGGGTGCTGGCACACAGAGCAGTGCATTGTGGGATGCTCTAGTAGTCTGTGGAGGATCTGACACTCCCTGCTGGGATGGACCAATATAGCGGGCAGTGGTCCGGCCCATTCCCCAGCCCTCCCTGATGCCCTGCCAGCCACTCTTCTACAGCTAAGTACACTGCTAGTTTAGTTTGGAAGCCTCACACTCCTACAGCTAGTTACACTGCTAGTTTGGAGGCCTCACACTCCTACAGCTAGTTACACTGCTAGTTTGGAGGCCTCACTCTCCTACAGCTAGTTACACTGCTAGTTTCATTTGGAGGCCTCACACTACCCGAAAGCTCGTACACTGCTAGTGTTCATTTGGAGGGGCAAATCATGGGGGGGATTAACAGGAAAAAGGGTTTTCTTTGGGTTTTAAGCTTTTTTTGGGTTCAAAAATTGAAATAAAAAACTTGGAGAAAAAAGGGGGGGGGAAAAAGAGTAGACAAGAAAGAGAGAAAAAAGAAGGGGGGAGAAAGGGAGAGGAAGAGAGGGGGGAAGGGAAAAGGGGAATAGATTTTTTTTTTTTTTTTTATTCTCTTTTTTTAAATTTGTTCTTTTTTATATCCTTCTTTCTCTTTTAAAAGTATCGTGTTTTTTAAAAAAAAAGGGGGTTTAAATTAAAACCCCCCCCTAAAATTTGGCCAAAAAATTTTAAAGGGTTTAAGGGAGAAAAAAGGGGGGGGGGGAAAGGGCCCGAAGGAAAGGAGGGGAGCGAAAAGGAAAGAGGGGGAAGGGGAAGAAGGATAGGGAGAAGGGGAGAGAAGAAGAGAAGGGGGCGGGGAAGGGGGAGGGGGGAAAGGGAGAGAAGCCGGGGGAAGAGAAAGAGGAGACGATAGAGCGCTAACGAAAAACGGGATGGAGAAGTCGCGCCTTCTCTCGCTCTCTTTTTCCTTCCCCCCACGTAGGGAGAGGGAGGTGGGGGGAGGAAGCCCAGGGGAAAGGGAATTTGAGGCAAAAAACCCAGTTTTAGAAGGGGAAAAAAGGGCCCCGGGGAGGCCGGGAAAACCCTTCATGTAAGGGCGAGGAGGAACCCCCATGCACCGGGGCTTCTGGGGCCCATTTCACGCGAGGGGTTACCCCAGGGAAGTAGGGTGGGAGAGGTATGGAGGGCAGAGGCCAGTTCTGGAGAGACTGACCTCTTCTACAGTGCAGGTATACAGGGAGGGAGGGTGGGAGAGGAGGGAGGCAGAGACATTCTGGAGAGACTGACCTTTTCCTAAAGCAAAAGAGAAAGCGGAGAACGAAAGGAAGAAAGAGGAGGAGGGGGGGGGGGGGGGGGGGGGGGGGGGGGGGGGGGGGGGGAAAAGAGAGGGGGATGTGGTATGGATGAAGTGAGAGAGAGCGAGATGAGGAGGAGAGAAGTACAGTAGCGAACTTGTCTCTAACTTTGAGGTGTATGTCTCTCTCCCCCCAGATGGGATCATCCCAGCAGACGGTATTATCAGCCCAGAGTTCTTCACAGACTACCAGAACGGAGACATTGGCCAGGCTGGAGGCTTCCCTGGCAGGTGAGCTCATAGCAGGGCAGGGGGTGGACTGCACTTCTATCCCCATCCCCTGGAGGCTCCTTTGGAGGGTGGGCTGCACCTCTCCACCCTCCCATCCCCTGGAGAACCACAGCAAGGCAAGGTTGGGCTGACAGTATTTCTACATGTCTGAGTGTGTGGGAACCTTTCAGCCAGGTTGTCTTCTCCTGCATAACAGACTGACAGGCTGTACTGAAGTAGGACAATGACCCCATAGCCCACTCTCCTAACCTCAGCCTCTGCTGCTTGGTGAACCGTGTTATTTTGCTCCGGTATTTGCTGATCTTTGTTATTAAACCAGGGCCATAGGCTGTGCAAACAGCCCTCCACTATCCCAGAAGGCATCACTCCACCCTCAACAGCAATACTGGAGCTTTGAGAACAATCCCACTCTGCTCTACTCCGTTGAGTCTCAGATACAGCGTCCGCCTTCCACTGTGAAACACTACACCAGCCAGCGAGTGAGCAGGCTTAAACAGGCCTAATATGTAGAGTTGAACACATTTTAAGTTCCTCTACTTGATATGCTGTTAAAATTATGAATAGTTGGGGAAATTGAGAGTTTATTGAGAGTAATTTGTCTTATTTATTATCAAACATCTCCTTGCGTGCGATAAAGCTTGTGTTGAAGGTTTTTTCCTGTGCAAGTATGTTTATGTTGGCTGCTGTTGAGAGGCTTGCTATGGAGAGTAGATAGCTTGCCACAGTTATTTCAGGTTTTAGATGGATGGAGGGAGGGAGGGAAGGAGAAACAGAAAGCAAAGAGAGAGCGAGTGAAAGGAACAGAGAGAGGGGCTTTTTTCTCAGCTCTTTGTAACTGATACCTTTTAAATATACTGAGCGAGCTGGGGGAATTGGCGTCTGTGAGAGTGTTTTAATTTGGCCAGTGTACTCCGGAGTGATCCAGGTTAACACAATAACCAAAGCCAGCTCCAGAGCTTATTTTAAACTACTTGTGAAACATGGTGTGAATGGGGTCTTTTAAATGGTTTAAATACAATCACTGTTATGTGTATAAATATGATAACAAGCTATTTTATATGAACTATATAAAATGTCTCTAGTCCCGGGTCGTTGGGAAAGAGCGGGCCAAACCTTGGAAAGTCAAGATAAGTCCCAGCAGCCTCAACGGGCCGGGCGACACAAGCTGAACGAGGGCGCCGTTGGTGTCACCGTGTGGAAAGGGAAGTGTCTGGGTTTCACTATAGGTGCACAACAGCGTGTGATTTGGAGGGTTTCTGACCCCCTCAACACGCAGACGGGCGAATCAATGAGTGCTTTGAGAGGCTGTCAGCGAGTGACAAGCAAGGAGAGTGAAACAATCAGGTGAGACAGAGAAAGAGGTAGGGAGGAGGAGCTGATGATTTAGCACTTGAGCAGTGGGTAGCTCTAACCTGAAGAGTGACAGCCTGGGGAGAGATCAAAGCATTGTGGGCCGGAGCGAGGTGAGGCGGGAGGAGACAGACATATGTATAAGCTTGGAGGGAGCAGAGGGTCATGGGAGCAGAGGAAAATGCCTGCTTCTCTTCCTGTGCACCCCCTGTAGAATGTGTCCCCAATGCCTCACCCCTACACCCTCATCCCAGCTTCACTGGGGCCTGCAGGGCCAGGCTGGGAACACTAGGTCCCTTTGTCTGCTAACACAACCCTCCCTCTTAAAATGTCACAACACACACGGCTGGAATGAGGTGAGAGACGAGCTGATTTATGTCTCGCGTCACTGTATGAGAATGTGTGTGAGGGAGTTGTTGATCAACTGGTCCTCTTTATCGTAATGTGGTCATTTGAACCTTTCCGCCTCAACCCCACCACCAGAACCAGAGTCCAGGCGCTGACCTGAGGTCCAGCTGTGTCTCTGTCTCTCTTTCTCCTAGGCCCAGGGTGTAGTCAGACAGGCAGGCAGGCCAGCTATCCAGGCGGGCTGTGAGGCAGGCAGGCCAGCTATCCAGGCGGGCTGTGAGGCAGGCAGTCAGGCTGTGTTACTCAGAGCTCCAGTGTTTCTCCTAGCCTCTTTTAGTCTGCCTCAAATCCCCCCTGACAGCCGTAGCGTGCGGAAAGGAAAAATACATTTTTCTGCCCAGTGAAGGAGGGAGGGAGGGGGCACGGGGAAGAGGAGGTGCAGGGTGCGTAACTGATCGCTGGAAGTGATTCGGGTTAAAAACAACACGTAATTATGGGCGCTTGCAGGGGCAAAGCAAACAGCTCGTATTTTAGAGGGCTAGAGGATGTCGGCCTGGCCAGCCAGCGACTGACTGTGTATGGAGGGAGGGAGGGAGCGAGCAGGGTGGAGGGGAAGAGAAGGGACGCTGTCGTTTGTCGAGGGGTTAACTCACTCTGTCTGGTTAACTAACTCACACCCAGTCCGAGGTAACGAGACGGTCGCGTTGACCCGACCACACAGCTGAACATTCAGACCAGCTGGTCAGAGAAGACAGACGACCGACCGTGAAATCGGCCAGCCTTTCCTCCTTTGTAGCCACGGTAACTGATTTGTACAGTTGTAGCTACAGCCCCTTTATCATTCCCCAAACAGGCCGGGGTTGCTGGGCGGCTGGAGGGAAGGAGGGCAGGTAAACATGTCTGGCTGTTGGCCTCCTCTGTAATGGAGCTGTGTTTTGACATCTACAGTGAGGGGAAAAAGTATTTGATCCCCTGCTGATTTTGTACGTTTGCCCACTGACAAAGAAATGATCAGTCTATCATTTTAATGGTAGGTTTATTTGAACAGTGAGAGACAGAATAACAACAAAAAAATCCAGAAAAACGCATGTCAAAAATCTTATAAATTGATTTGCATTTTAATGAGGGAAATAAGTATTTGACCCCTCTGCAAAACATGACTTAGTACTTGGAGGCAAAACCCTGGTTGGCAATCAGAGGTCAGACGTTTCTTGTAGTTGGCCACCAGGTTTGCACAAGTCATTTTGCACAAGTCATTAAGGTTTCGAGGCTGACGTTTGGCAACTCGAACCTTCAGCTCCCTCCACAGATTTCCTATGGGATTAAGGTCTGGAGACTGGCTAGGCCACTCCAGGACCTTAATGTGCTTCTTCTTGAGCCACTCCTTTGTTGCCTTGGCCGTGTGTTTTGGGTCATTGTCATGCTGGAATACCCATCCACGACCCATTTTCAATGCCCTGGCTGAGGGAAGGAGGTTCTCACCCAAGATTTGACGGTACATGGCCCCGTCCATCGTCCCTTTGATGCGGTGAAGTTGTCCTGTCCCCTTAGCAGAAAAACACCCCCAAAGCATAATGTTTCCACCTCCATGTTTGACGGTGGGGATGGTATTCTTGGGTTCATAGGCATCATTCCTCCTCCTCCAAACACGGCGAGTTGAGTTGATGGCAAAGAGCTCGATTTTGGTCTCATCTGACCACAACACTTTCACCCAGTTCTCCTCTGAATCATTCAGATGTTCATTGGCAAACTTCAGACGGGCATGTATATGTGCTTTCTTGAGCAGGGGGACCTTGCGGGCGCTGCAGGATTTCAGTCCTTCACGGCGTAGTGTGTTACCAATTGTTTTCTTGGTGACTATGGTCCCAGCTTCCTTGAGATCATTGACAATGTCCTCCCGTGTAGTTCTGGGCTGATTCCTCACCGTTCTCATGATCATTGCAACTCCACGAGGTGAGATCTTGCATGGAGCCCCAGGCCGAGGGAGATTGACAGTTCTTTTGAGTTTCTTCTATTTGCGAATAATCGCACCAACTGTTGTCACCTTCTCACCAAGCTGCTTGGCGATTGTATTGTAGCCCATTCCAGCCTTGTGTAGGTCTACAATCTTGTCCCTGACATCCTTGGAGAGCTCTTTGGTCTTGGCCATGGTGGAGAGTTTGGAATCTGATTGATTGCTTCTGTGAACAGGTGTCTTTTATACAGGTAACAAGCTAAGATTAGGAGCACTCCCTTTAAGAGTGTGCTCCTAATTTCATTTCGTTACCTGTATAAAAGACACCTGGGAACCAGAAATCTGTCTGATTGAGAGGGGGTAAAATACTTATTTCCCTCATTAAAATTCAAATCAATTTATAACATTTTTGACATGCATTTTTTTGGATTTTTTTGTTGTTATTCTGTCTCTCACTGTTCAAATAAACCTATTATAGACTGATCATGTCTTTGTCAGTGGGCACACGTACAAAATCAGCAGGGGATCAAATACTTTTTCCCTCACTGTAGCTGTTTTATGTAGTTTGCTGAAGCTAGATGTTCCCTGTCACAGAGCTCCAGTGTTATGGCAGAACATGTATTAGGTGAGATGAATATTGCATTAAGTTTTATAAAGAGCTTTTATTTTACGTTCCATTATACTACGACCCCTTCTCTTCTTCAATGTGTTCTGGTTGTGTCGCTGTATGTTTCACTGTCTCAGAGCGCCACCTAGTGGTGGTATCTAAACCCATCTCACGTCATGTTGACTCCTGTCTGTGGGGCTGACATATACAGCAGGTGTGTGTGTGTGTGTGTGTTTATCCCTACAGTATGAATATCGATATGTTTGGACAGTCGACGGTGACCCCTGGACAGCGCCCCGCCACGGCCTACGGCATCCGGCCAGACCAGCAGTTGTTCTACAGCTACAGTGGTGCGGCCTCCAGATAAACCAGGTTAACTTCAGTTCATTACACCACAGAGACTGACTGCAGCTATGCCCCATCTAGCTAGCTATTCTAAGCTGTGTGGTCATGAAGGAGTATCAACACTACTGTATGTTCAACAGCACCTTAGTATGTCAGCTAGTCTCTTCTAGTGCTCTAGTCCAAACTCTAGCAGTGATGTTGCTGTTGTATTGAGTCCAAACTCTAGCAGTGATGTTGCCGTTTTATTGAATGAAAAAATTACATCTTAAGCTACCTAGGTGATGTTGCTGAAAAACTATATTTGGCATTTTGTTTTGAGCTTTTATTGGAATATTATATATATATCTCAATGTTCACTACGAGTATGTATTACTGTGCCATAATACAACACAAACTGAAGATTAATTAACTGTACTATTACGTTATACATTCATGTTATATGTTGTACTGGGGTTAATTGTTATCCATGCACGACATTTCAGAAGTAGAGGTGGTTGGTTGGTATGGCACGGCGTTAGTCTTATTGTCATAGTCCACTAACTGCATGCTGTAACAGACCATTTTATAGGTGACCTCATTCTGGAGACCGACTGTTGAGATGTTCTCCATCTTTTCTGGCTTTGCGATCTGTCTCTCTCTCGCTTTCTGTCTGTCTTTCTGTCTCTCTCTCCACACACACACACACCTCTGGATGATATTACTGGAAATGTGTGTGGAGTCAGGCACTGAATCGCATCTGAACTTCATTTTGAATGTAACTTTTTTACTGTGCCTTTTGTTAGTGGTGAAGGAAATACTTTTTGAATTTGTACAAACATTGAGTGATTCTGTTTATTTAACTGTTATTTTTTATATAAATTAACAATGAGTTATGTTTATCTCTTGTGTGTGGTGCTCATCAGAACTATCATAAAAGCCTTTTTCTGCAATATTTAAAATAAAGTGTTGAAAACGGACTCTGTTTGTAACAGTTCATTGCTTGCGATTGTGGTTGAATTGATTGTTTTCAGCTAGTGTTGTGCACCATAAGCTCAACTATTAAACCTTCAGTGCACAATAAGCTCAACTATTAATTAACCCTAAAGTGCTAAAGGAAGACAAACACACAGTAAATGTGTTGTATTTGTTGTATAGTCAAATAAAAAGGTTATTTTATTTATTTTCCCAACACACAAGTGCTGGACGGCTGTCTGGTTTTTGTAGACTTCATACTGTATTTTACAGTATATTTTCTCAGACTTTAATATACATACACAGATCTGCATAGCCCATTCACAAAATGACTGTGTAACATGTCATGTATGAAAGCACAGGCGCTGGAGGGTGTTGAAATTTCAACACGGCTATTAGTCATTCAGGAATAAAGTCACCTGGACCAGTCTCCATAGCAACCACATCTATTGGAAATAGGTAGTCATCCTTCTTCATGGAAACAACACAGTAGACACTAGGAGAGAACATTAGAACCTTAGAACATTAGAACCTCAATCGTGATGCATCTGGCGGTATCTTATTGGTACTTGGCGGACTAGCTGTTGAGAGAGTATGAGCATGCATACCCTATACGTTAACTGATGAGAAAATCCTTCAGCAAGTCAAAGTACACAGAATAGAAAATCCCTAAGTCTTCCTTCATATGTAGAACCCTCCCATTGCTACTCAGACCGATTCAATATATGGCAGTGCTGTTGATTTTAAAATATAACACAACTTAAAAGTAGCATATATCAAACTGTGTCTAAATCATCTAAAATGTATGCATATTCATATGTAGGGACATAGAAGATAAAAAAAAAAAAAACTGACAAGTGGAGACAGTTTCACACAATTGCAATAGACAATTTGATGCTTACCAAATTAATTAGCTTTTCCTTGGTCCCTAACTTGATATTCCATTTATGCCCATATCTCACTACATTAATCTTCTCACGAACACAATTGTATATGTTCATATTTTACCATTGCAGTTTTATGGAAGCGTGCAGTTTTATGCTTGTGTCATAGTTCAATGTTTGTACTTGATGGTGAGGGTAATCTCAGTCAGTATAGTGTTTGGGTTCGACGACAGCGAGGGTATAGTCTACAACATTTGCATACTCCTCACAATTGCAGTGATTTAAAGAATGGGGTCCTTGTCTTCCTTTATTTTCTGTGCGATATCAGGCACCTCACTGGCCACCCCTCCCTCATACGTTATCACTACCTGGGTAATGCTGGACCATCTCCTCCACTTCAAACACCTCCACCACCAGGTCCCGGATCTCCTTCACACAGTCCAGGGCCCGGGGAGCGGGCTCAGCGGGCTCCACAGCCTGGAGGGCTTCTTTGGTGGGCTCAGCAGGGAGGGTGGCCTGGGTGTCTGGCTGGGGCTGTGGAGGGACTACATTAAACTTGGCTGCTGATGCTATGGTGGAATAAGCACCTGCAGTGACTTCAACTCTAGCTTGTCCGTTAACGCCTCCTGTTGCTTCAGAGACTGGGTCGTCGCTAGAGGGAACGGGGTTACCCTCTGATACTTCTACAGGGGGCTTGGCAGCGATGCTGACTGGTGTTTCACTCACGCTGACCTCTACTGCAAGGTTAGAGGTCACAGAAACGCTACACTCCCCTCCGTTGCTCTGTGACACTTTGACCTCCTCAGTTGGGGCTGCTGCCCTCGTGACATCATCATCACCAGGGATCTCGATGTCTGAGTGGGCTGACTCGCTCTCTGTAACCCACTCATCATCCCCATCATCTGGGATTGGGTAGGATGAGGCTGGCACATCCTTGGTCTCTGCTGCTGCAGCAAGGTTGGCGTCTGCTGGTGGCACAGTTACAGGCTGCTCACCACTAGAGGCCACTACTGGGTCACTATTAGGAGGACCGCTTTCACTATCTGCCTCTGTCTCAGCCTCTGTCTCAGCCTCTGTCTCAGCCTCTGTCTTAGCCTCTGTCTCAGCCTCTGCCTCTGTCTCAGCCTCTGTCTCAGCCTCTGTCTCAGCCTCTGTCTCAGCCTCTGTCTCTGTCTCAGCCTCTGTCTCAGTAGTGGTGATTGTGAGAGAAGCCGTGCTCTCTGCTACTGAATCTTGAACAGCTACAGGGTCAATGACAGCTACAGGCCTGACAACACAAACAGGGACAGGGGATGGGTCAGGGACGGGGACAGGACCGGATGAAGCGGCTTCGCTTTGTGCTACTGTGGTTGGTACGTCCATTACTACGGTCTCCTCCACCTCCACAGCATCTCCAGGGGTGGGTGTTTCCTCTGTCTCTGATAGGACAGGGATGTCCACTTGAGCTGTCCCAGTTGGCGTGTCCTCCGTTTCTGTCTCAGCCACTACAGGTGTATACATCTGATCTGTTGCAGGTGTCTCATGTGTACTGACTGTGTTCTCCACCTTGACTAGCTTCTCCACTAGAGCTGCAACAGAAGGTGCAATACTGGCCCCCAGGGCCTTAATCTCTACGGTGGCCCCTGACACCGCCTCCACCTTGTTCTGCTCCGCCTTCAACACGGCACTGGGGGGGTCCCCCTGTGCACCGCCAACAACCGCCAGACTGTTGCTCAGGACAGGAGAGGCAGGCTGGGCTGGTGCTGGTACCTCAGCCTGGGGCTGGGTCTCAGGCTTGGTCTGGTGATGTGTGGAGGAGAACGGCACCCTGGCTGGGCTGCTGGCGGTGGATGGGGTGGAGAGGAGACTGGAGCGGCTGCACTGCCTCAGGAGGTCCCTGCTGTCTGTGAACAGGTTGTGTTTCTTTAGGCTGGCTGCGTCCTTCACCACTGCAGAACAAATAGATAGATGTTTAGGTAACAACAACATTAACAACAACAACAACATTAACAACAACATCAAAAACAACAACATTAACAACAACAACATTGGTGTAGATGAACAGAGAGGGTAATGCCTGAGATATGCATTACATTTGAGTAAGACGAAAGTAATAATTGTCTAATAAAGTAATAACTCTGTACCTTTGCTGACTTCCTTGTCCAGACTCTGCAGCAGAATGCCCTCATAGATATTCTCCACATGGACAAAGTTGGAATAGTCTGCATCGATGAACTCTTCAAGACCCTGCAGTTCCTAAAGACACAGAGACAACCATTTCCAAGGGCTGTGATTTTCTAAACAGTCATGACTTTTAAGGATACTAAGAAGATGAAAAGGTGTGTGTGTGTGTGTGTGTGTTTGTACACGTTTTACTATAGTTGTGAGTACCAAAAGTCGTCACAAGAATAGTAAACCAACTAGGGTCTGGGAAAATTGGAGTTTGAATGGGAATCAATTGTAGGTTCCCAAAAAGTCCTCACAACTATAGTAAGACATAGCTGTGTGTGTGTGTGTGTGTGTGTGTGTGTGTTATGGTAAAGGGTGCAGTGTGTGTATTGACTCACTGTTTTGCAGGTTGGGGCCAGGTTCTTCTTAATGTGAGGTAGAGTGATCCCCACCAAGGCCTCCTGAAAGATCCTCTTCCTCACTGTGCTGCTGTCGTAATCATATTGCTGCAACACGCACACAGCTAAATTAGCATATACAATGGATTTTGATCAGTGCTTGTCTCAGTGAGTTAATAAATCTTCAATTTTTTAAAATGTTTGTTTACTTTTTATTATATATATATATATATATATATATATATATATATACACACACACAAATACACATATACTCATACATACACACACATACACACACACACACACATATATACACATACATACATATGTAAATACATCCATACACACACACATCCTTTTTTAAATTATATTTCCCTTCATTACTTTACAACCCCACCACCCCTTCCCTAATTGGAGTAAACTAGTGAACAACAACGCTTAGGCCTCTACTTCCAGCCCATACATACTATATACATTTTATGGACACTTTTATGGACAATTATTCTACAATAATTATATTTTGTTTGTTTTTACTCCTGAACTTCCTCCGATCATTTTCATGATGTCCATCTGGTTTGCTTCTATATGCCATATTTTTCTAACTGTGCTCTTTCACAAAAGCTCTCAACCTATAACCTATATACTTATTATGGACACAGTATGCTTTACATTAGTTATCTTGTTGTTATTAGTTGTTGTTATTAGTCCCATCCTTCAACTCCATTCAACACCACCCATTTATCTCTTAACACCATCCATATTGGATTTCTATTTGCCATATATTTTTCAACTGTACTGTGATGTTTTACAAAAGTT